ACCCTGCGAACAGAGTCTCCTTCGATCTTCCTAAATAAGTCGGGAAGAGGAAGGAACTTCCTCTTTTCCGACTTATCAAGGAAAGATCGAAGCGACTCTGCTAGCAGGGTAGTACAGTCCTGATTGTAGCGCTATTTCCGTCTGTCGCTTGAGCCCAGCCGGTGGACCATGTGTATGAGGGCCTGTGTCTTGTAGGCTAGTACATGCTAGCCACAGCTTGCATGAATGGCAGGCTGTAAAACTGACAGTACACTGATAATTTTTCTTCTTGTAGAATATACTCCATGAGTTTGTAGGTAAAGACCGCACTAATGGCAGAGGAAAGTTTAGGCAGAAAAATCATAACGAGTAAACCGGCCTCGACACTAAACTAAACGTTTGTGAATTCCTTCGCAATATCTTAGTATGCCTTTACACTTAAAAGTAAAATGAACGTACTAAACGGGAACAGGGGTCTTTTTTGCATGAGCATGCGCGACTGCTGACTTGTCAAAAAGCACGCGACCAGTGACAGCGACCGTGCTGCATAGTCATAGGAACCAAATTGTCCACTTTGAAAGCTTGCTTGAGATTGAAATGGTAGCGGGAACTTAGGAAAGACCTTCGTTGTACAAAATAAGTAAAGATCTGTTGATTTAAAGTGGAGACTGATGCGCTGAACGAGGTGAAAGAGCAAGCTTCTCAAGGATGTCTGACACGAGCATGGCTGCTTGTTGTTGTTTGGCGCACGACTCGTGTCTTGATTCCCCTTTAGGAACCGCAAAGTTTGGCATAGAATGCATTGCTGATGCGTAGCTATTGAGCAAAATGTCCTTTATTTATTGTTTGTCTATAAATCGGATGTAAATCAGTTTCTCGATGCCGTAGAGGATTTCTGTCAATAATTTGTAGATAGCTGATTTAGCCATATTTCGGGAGTGGATTAATAACGATCAGCGGGCGACTACCACGCCGTTTTCAGTTAGAATAGAAAGTTTTTGCCTTAAGTATTTTAGCGATACAAAGTTTGTTTATAGGAAAATTGTAGAACTTCTTGTTTTTGCGTGGACTAACATTGTAACGCATCTTTTACAGGAATTTGCTTTTGGCCAGAACTTAAATGTTCTATATAATGATTTTTAACTTCTGGTCGGCATCACATGTTTACTGTACTTCTTGTGAAACCTAACCGTTTGTTTCATCAAAATCGGTCACAAGATTGGACTTTAATTTCGGTCCTATTGAATGCAGTTTTGACTGTATCTCATTGATATTCATTTTTTTTATTGTTCGAGACATACAGAGTGACTAGCACCAACATCTCCCCAGGTGACTAATCTACGTCTCGTGTGCTATTAATTTTGTAGCTTTAAAGTGCTGGGAAAATTGTAGAACATATATTAATTCACTGCTGAACTGAACAACGGCTTTCGCGCACTTCGAACCAACTCGCTGAAATTTGCTATGTTTTTTTTAAAATATTTTTCTTCCTTTCCCATTTCAAAACAAAGAAAATTGAAAGAGCATAATTGCATCAACAAACGTTCCTGCACTTTGTTTAGACTTTGATGAGGTCAGCGCAATCCTCCAGGCAGGCACTACATATACGCGCGCTGTTGTCCGGGTCAAGTGGGGAGATGAAATTTGATAGTAGCTCGTGTATGTTAAAGCCGGTCTACTTCGCTTTTGTTAAGACCATGTTAGAGTTTTTTTTGCAAACTACACATTTTGTTAAATCACGAGCACATTCGCCAAGACCAACGAGCAAAATAATTGCTATGATAGCTTTGAGACGCGCCATTTTGATGAAGGCAAACCCTGTGGTGAGCCTCCATGCACATCGCTTGTTCAGCGGTTGCGCATGCTCATGCAAAAAAGACCCCTGTTCTAAACGGGAGCCCCGCTTTTAGGCTTGGTTAAATCTGTATATCATAAAAAATCTACGGGCGTCTAATATCTGGCTACAGGTGATTTGACAGGGTAAAAGTACATTGAAAAGTATGCTCGTCCAGCTTGCTGTTGATGATAACAATGCATCCGCACATACACCTGTAACTTGATTGTCTTACTCCGTCTATTTATAGATCATTTATACAGTGTATGATACAAAAGTCATTTTTCAAAACTTTTTAAGAGACGTTTCTGCACCATCACATCACTGTTCTAGCAAGCGAGTAGAAACACGAGAACAAATCAAATTTTAAAAGTGAGGGGTTGCCAGTTAATAGAACCTCGGTAACTCGGAACAAACAGTTCCGAGTTATCAGCGGATCGATTGAATTTCAATTCGCCACTTTAATAATTGGTGATTATTTATTTTTCAGCACTTCTCTAATCAGTGTAAAGTACAGCGCAAATTTACTCATTTCATCAAAAACCGTGCCATGCTTATCATCTTTATAAAACGTGATCTGTTCGTTGCACCAATTACATTGTAAAATTGTTTTGTGTTTTTACCAATTAGACAACAAGAAGAGTTAATAGGATGGCGTCAGAGTGGGGTAACAAGAACCAGAATTCGAATTGTCCGGGGAAAATTTCAGTGCAATTTTGATCAAGGCCGGAAAAGGAAATTTAGATCGAGTAGGCGGGTAATTCAAGTTATCCGAGTTCGAGTATAAATGAATGAAAGTGACGTGAAATCCATGGAAATAAAGGGCTTTACAGTTTTTTTATAGAGGCTTTCCTCGCCAAACGTCGATATATCATCCATATCATTACAAAACAATTGGTATCATAACATAGACAAATCATCTTGTCACGAGGAGCGAAAGGTTTCCCCAAAAATAATGTTTGGGATTTTTCTTGCGTTTTTATGGTATAAGAATGAAGTCATATAAACACACATCAAGAAAACGAGATTAAAATAACAATTCAGGCTCATCCGGGTGTCCTAAAATTAAATCTTCGACCAAAATAAAGCACCCTAATTAACTACGGGAAAATTCATGACAGACATTTGGAGCGTAACAACTTACTCTTCACTGACTCTATGTCAGTATTACCCTTAAAATATGGATAACAAATGCACTGGGATGGCAGTTAAATGAATCATCCTTATTATAAGCTGTTTGATAGCATACTTAAGAATATTTATTCCTTTCACAATTCTATCATTGATATACCATAAACCACACAATTTAATCAAAATTTGAATTGAAAAGCCCTACAATATCATACAGTGGTGTCCTGAAAGTCCTAAAACGGTGGCTGTATTATAATTCGCTAATAAGAACAAGCAATTTACAAATTAACAACCGCAAACAACACAAGTTGCGTTGGCAAATTCATTTTTCCAATTAGCGACCTGATTAGCGACAAACGGATAAAGAAATCTTACATAATATTGGATAGCAAAATAAGTAGTCTGCGACAGGCTCTCAGATAGCAGGGAGGTCGCGAAAACAAGCCAAGCGAAAATAAGACGCGCGTAGCTATTATCTCCCTAGCCCACGCGTGTTTTTTGCGTCACTTTTCGCGATCATGCACATTACTTATCTTGGAGCCTGGAACAGTATACACTGATACCAGCAATACATTTCCGAAGTTAGATTGCTCATTTTGGCATTCAAAACTGTTTCCTAATTTAACAATTCTCTTTGTTGAAATTGGTGTACTTTAGCAGCAAGCGCTTGTCCATGACCAGCGAGCTCGCCTGCTATAGCCTGTTCCAGTATAGTTGAACCTCTCTACAACGGGCACCTTTGGGACAGAAGAAAGTCGCCATTGTAGAGAGGTTGAAATAAGAGTGAATGTATGGACTGTCTAATAAAAAAAAAAAAAAAAAAAAATAATAATAATAATAACTGCTGTTTTAGAGAGGTGGCCGTTAGTAGAGCTTCGACTGTAGTTCAAAAAAACAATAAATAGATAAATAAAAATAAAAAACGAAGGGAGACTAGAGAGGGAAAGAGGGAGGGAATCTCGCTCCCGCACCAGTCTCCCATCGTTTTCCCTGCGTACAGTTTAACTTGCTCGCTCCCCCATCTTAATGCTGCGGTCTACTATCTAAACACTTGCGACTACAGCTGTCTATCGTCTCTCTTTGCCTCTTAAGACGTTATGGCGAAAAGCCAGGAGAGACGGCTGTAGTTTGCATGTTACCAGCGAACAAGCTTGCAAGGTCCGCTCTCAGTGACAATTTCAGTAGAGAAGACGATATTGAGCTTATACTCTTTTAAACAGGCGACAACAGTGAAAACCGTTTAATGAGCAAGAAAACAACCAGTCACACAATTGCATCGCACCTTAAGCTACTATTTGTTACCCATAATTGACGGTAACGTTTGCTACGTTTTCTTACGTTTTACGTTTACGGACGTGAAACCACGATTACCAATTTTCTTTAACTTTTAGATGAGGTCCCCGGCTGTAACCATTCAACTCCGGGTATCATCGCCCACACTAAGCCAGCAGGAATGATCGCAATACAATTTGAAAGAACGCGACTGATTCATTAGGGACTTTAAGATCCAACGACGCGGACGGTAACGAGAACGTCAAAAAAACAATAGGTCTTATTAGCAAAACAACACCTTTGCACGTGCACCATGCTTTTTTGTACATTTCTCTGCGCGTTTTTGCATGACCACGACGTGAACATGCACATTTTCGCGTTTTATGGAGCACGTAAACAAGCAACGACGAAATTTTATTTCTCTTGCTATACTTGGATATGGTGCCTGGGAATTCAACTCCAGGAGGGTTCGCCTACATTTGACAAAGTGAGTGGGTAGCAATAATTGCGATAAAGACTGAAAGAACGCAAATTCATTTTTTAAGCGACGTTCTCATTGCCGTCGCGTCGTTGGATCTTAAAGTCCCTATTATATTAGTAATGCGTTCTCACTGCTGTCGATTTCATGGTCGCTAAACTCTTAGAAGAGAAAGGATCAAATCTTTCTTTGTTCAGCTACAGTCAACAGACCACACAGTCTCTTGCATCCGGATTATATCTAGTGCAACACTGAAGTACGTAAAAAGAGCAGAAGGCTAATTATTTCTTCTCATTTGGACACCAATCAATTTGTTACTAGATGAGCTTTAAATGCTATTTTTGGATTCCTAATATCACCCAGGCTTTGAATCAAACGCAGCTCTATTTGTCCAGGTGATGGCTTGTTCCCTTCTCCTGCTAATCCTGTTAAAACAGAAAATTTTGTTTGAAAAATGATTCGCTTGTGATGAAAGTTATAAGTGTGTATAACGAGGTGAGAGAAGTTAAGGAGGCAGAGTAGCCGAGCGGCTTATTGAACCCTGGATTTGGAATCGGAAGGCACTGTGTTCAACTCTCGCCCTGGCCGCTACCTGAATTTTGTTTTCGGTTACTGCTGGCGGTAAATGAAGGGATCATTAATATATAGATTTAGTCAGGGTTAAAAGCGAAGCTCCCGATAAAGTTATAGTTTGCTCAAACAAACTGTAAAATCGTGTAACGCTAACCGGCGAAGGCAACGAGAACGGTGAAAAAACAAAAACAGGTCTAATTAGCAAAAGAGCAACTTTGCACGTGCAGCACACTTTCTTTGTACATTTCTTTGCCGTTGTTTTGCACGACTGCAACGTGAAACTTCCAGAAGCTTCCTGGTTACACGTTTTATGGAGGAAATATCGTCCGTGTTCTTGTTCTCTTTTTTTCTACTGTCGCTCATTTTCACCTAGGTGGCCGCTAGCATTTCTCATTTTCTCCCCGCCGCTACAAAATTTCATGTTGTTCCTCCAACAAAAAATGTCTCCTTTGTTTTTTCTATCTCGCTCTAGCTCTTTTTCTCGTTGAGCTTCGCTGGCCTGTCGCCTTACTTTCTTTTGTTCTCTGTCTTTCTCTTTCTCTATTTTCTAAATTTGTGGACATGACAATTAATCTAAACTTAATACTTTAGACGACAGGATACAGAAACAATTTCCGCTCTCCGTTTTCGTCTTTATTGACTCTTTAGTTGTCTCTGCTTCACAAGACGAGGGCGGCCATACACTTTTCCCGCCAAAATAACCTGACAGTTGGCATCGGGTTACATGAAGTGGGTGTACGGACGGTCGGCGTTCGCACGCTACGTCATAACCAAATTTTGTTACTTTCATAGGTGACCAATTTATCTTAGCAATGGGGCTCCGCCACGCGCGCGGGAGCTCCGCTATTAATTTTCTTTTTGTTAAAACTATAGTAAAACGGCAAAAAAAAAAAAAAAAAAAAAAAGAACGTGTTTTTGAACATTGCTGCAAAACGAGTTGAAGAGCCATGTTGTGCGTTTTACCACCCACGTTCAAAACTGTCTTGCAACAAAACAGGTAGATGCAACATAAACAGATTTAACTATACTTTCTGTAACAACTTCTCACAACCTGAAGCAACTTGATTTGTTACAAGACAGGTTTGATTCGTGGGTGGTAAAACGCGCATCATCACTTTTCAACTCGTTTAGCAACAATGTTTCGAAATAAGTTGCACGTTTGTGTTGCCCATTTTTCCGTAGCTTTTGGACTTTAAGGGATAATCAACTTCTTTTTGATGCTATCATGTTCCCACAATTAGCGTAGCTCCACCATTCGATATAAACCCAGCGAGCAGCGGTTTTTTTGGCACGGCTTTAAGCATTTACGAGAAGTCGTTTGGGTCGCTTGTCAATCGCGTTTATGGCGTTTATGGTTGATTTATTTCGATATATAAAGCACACACAACCGACACCGATTAGGAAGCTTTAGCATCGACAACGGCAACGGCAGCGAAAACAGTTTTAAAAAACCAATCTTTTTAACGCGTTTATTCCAATTTGCTGACAAGACAGGCGAACGGACCGCACTCAAGTTTAGAAGGGAAAAAAGATTCGTCGTCGCTTGTTTACGTCCTCCATAAAACAGAAAGGCATTTGCTCGTCGTAGGGCAAGGACGGGAAAGAAATGTACCAAAAGCGTGAACGTGCAAACACGTAATGAACCGCTTTTTGAGGATTCATTCTGACGAAGCGGGGAACGTCAGCTCTTTTATCTCTCTGGCAGCCAAACTTCTTTGACAACTCAGTTCGGATAAAACCAGCCGGATTTTGATTTCACTCAAGTCGGTCACTAAGCTTGAAAAACTATTGAATGTATCAAATTTCATATTATTACATAAATCACTTGAACTAGATGCTACTTACGTTGTGCATGAGCTAGAGTTCTTTTTAGCACTGCTTGCACTGTTGATACCGTTGCTTCGCAAGCAAGTGCCAGGTCATTGGGATGTCTGTGTAACCAGGCGAGAAGTACGCTAGCAAATAGGTCTCCTGTTCCCGTGAAGGTAGCATCTAATTTTGGAATCTCCATCCGGACGCACTTATTACCGCCTTGGAGTGAAAGCAAATTAAGCAATTTCATTTCAAAGAAATTTGTAAAGTTAGCGGCATAAATACGTAAATAGAACCTTAAATGGAGAGAAAGAGGAAGTGTATCCAAAGCCTTGAATGTGTAGTTGCAGTGTCAGGGCAAGCTACCAAAATCAAACAAGAACTAATAGGAGAAGGGACACACTAAATCTTGGCGTTTTTGCTGGGGGGTGGGGGGGCAGTCCCTTATTTGGCCTTACGGACTTATGGGTATTTGCCGCTGAATAGGGTATGGTTTCCAGGGTATTGAGGGTATACAATGAGCACATTAAGAAAAAATAATGAAAATAGCAGCATTAGAAGATGCCCAGTCAGATAGGAGCGATAAGTGAAGAGAGACGTCCACTGCCAGTGATCCACATACCATTCACCGTACTACCAAGCGCTATCAGAGTCTTGTGGTCACCCAGTTCTGAGCTGGTTATTACTACTGTTTTCGAGCCTCTTTCGTGTAAGATCTTCATTGCCTTTTCAAAGAAAACAAAGCGTTATTCAAAAAGTACTCTACAAAACGGACTGATTATAACAAAAATCAACTATTTGCTATCTTCACAGAGACCATAATGCACCTTGTTTCCCCCCAAAATGTTGCATAACTATTTTTTCCAATTTCTCCTGGGTATGACAGTCGTACCAAGAGAAAACGAAGACAACGGCTATGGAATTTTTTTTTTTTTTTGGGGGGGTTAACAAGGTGCTTTATGGTCTACGTGAAAATGGTGAATGGTTGTCCTGCGTACAACTTCACTTGGTAAGTCAGACGTTCGCAAATTAATTGCTTCCACATATTTACATCGAACAGCACAATGATTAAAGAGCAACAGTTTGAAGACATTTAGTAATTGCACACACCTAACCAGGACTCCAAGAAAGCAGACGGAATATTAGGACCACCCCTTCCCCCAAAAAAAGATGGGAAAATGACACGATTTGCCCATTGTGCGGTTACATCCTTGTGGACGTGAATGCTAAAGCAAAGTTACCTTAAATGTTCCAAAAACAGTCAAATCACTATTCTTTTACTAACAGGTGAAGAGAAGATTTATAGTGAACAAAACAAAATACTACAATTGTCGTCTGTTCTTGCTTTCAAATTTTACGCGCATCTTCATTTGGAACTTTGTGATGTTATCTGGTAGTTGCTATTGGCCGTTTTCACACTAGCGACGGATTATCCGCCTAAGACGAAACATCCATCGAATAGTTCGCGACAGACGGATAATCCGTCTTAATGTGAAAACGGAACGGTTTCAGGACGAATAATCCGTCTTACTTTATCCGTCTGTTATCCGTCAATTTTGACGGATTTAAAGACTGATAATCCTTTTCTAGTGTGAAATCCGCCGTTGCTGCATACAATAACAGAAGAACACTACAGTCTTAACACGCGGAAAAGGGTACAGACAAGGTAGAGGCTCACCTTAAACGCCTCACTTTCATTTGTTATCTTTACGCCACTTAGAAGCCTGTTACAATATTAAGAGATAAACGAAAAGATTACCCGACACAAACTAGACAGAGTCAGCGACAATGCGAGAGGGAGAAAGCGTCCTTTTTTCCCCACACTCTACAGTCTTCTCCTATTTATAGCAACTTTATAACTTTATCTTCGACATTTCATATTTCAGTACCAAAACAATCAATATGACAACAAATAAAATGAAATAAGATAAACGTTAAGTAAGAGAGAAAGGAACAACAACAATATATTAAACATTAACATAGAAAATTACGTGGATATGTATAGTTTCTACGCTACTCTTATTTTTAAGAAGGTTAAATTAGAGTTGGGATGTACGTAGAACAATTTAGAATATTTCCAATATATTTAAGAGGCACTAAGATTTATGATGTATTCGTCGCACAGAGACATGATTAAGAGCCATACTATATAATATAAAAAATGTGCCTTGCAAGACATGGACATGGACATATTTATAGCCGCGTTCTTTTTCATACTTGTCTCCTCTACCTGAGGGACCGAAAAAGTTAGACGGACGTAAAAACAAAACAAAACAAAACAAAACAAAACAAAACAATTGCAACAGTGGTACGTATACTAAGTGAAATGACGAGAATATGAATTTCGTATATTTCAGCCGCGGAGGAAGAAATAAATGCTAGGACGTTCAAGGGCAGTGGTATGTAAGTATTGCATGTACATCAAACATGGGGATGTGTGTTTCATAACAGACACCGAGAAATATTTATTACATCACAAACCTTTCCATTTATGCTTGGCAACGCTAACTGAAAAATTTTACTGTAAATTACAATATAAAAAATAGGCGTGTTACTCACTCTGCTTCAAACTGATTTGGTGTGATGATATCAGCCTGTGGAATGATCTGATCTCTGTAGACTGGTAACAACTCCTCTGGAACATACTGATACAAAACGTATTCAAAGATGAATTATTTCATATACTTCACTTCGTAAATAGGTCAATTAAAAATTATTTTATATTCTGTTCAAGAACAAACCTCGTTCTTGAGCAGTAACAAGTCATGAGTAGGTGAAATGGGATCGTCCGCGTTAACGTAGTACTGAATAGGACTGTTGTTGACTGTGGCTGACGTTTTGACAACCTGTGTGGTAGTCATCTTTAGAGTCAAAGTGAGTTGTATCACGTCAGTTGATGGTATGAAACTATGGTCATCGACCTGATTGGTCAATTTAGTCACCATGTTATTGGTCGCCTGTCAGTTAAGCCGTGATGTTATCGGCTATGAAGACTCTAAATGTCATTGATGAGTTTCGATCCGTGTTTTTTCACAGCTTAATGGTCGTTTATTGTTTGTCAAGTTGTCGCTTGTCCAGTCTTTCTATCTTTGACTGTTTTGCTTGAGTCTGTCAATAAATCGTTTGTGTGGTACCGCTAACTGTTGACAACGATTCAGTGGTGTTTGTCAGGGCAATTACATAATCCAGTTAAGATAAAGGTAAAGGCGCACACGAGCCAAAGGCCCAATCGGCCGCGGCTTATCCCGGTTTCCTTAGCATGAAGTATGCCTAGGATGTATTGCTACTCCACCCTGGACGGGATGCTAGTCCATGGCAGAGTTACCCCCAGCAGCATGTCGCCCGGTACCCATTTATACACCTGGGTGAAGAAATTGACGCGTTAACCACTCGGCCACACGCGCCTCCACCAATCTAGTTACAGCTGTAGTATAGGTAATAGCATGATTTGTAGTGATATTTGGCATAATATTGATATTTATGTCAAATATCACGTACAAATCATGCTATTATTTGTTTATACTACTACCCGCAAAAGGTTTGTAATTTTCACATGTAAGTATTTCAAATTAAGCTGAAATACCACTGCTCTAAGCCAATCAGATTGCAGAAATTTCTCATGTAGTAGTATAAAAGATATGTATAACTATATGAAAAAAATAAAATTAGAACAATAACATTAATATTAAACAAAGAAACTTAACATGACTTACAAATTTTCCCGCATCTCCCATTACTGGATCACATACTTTGAAAAAGGAGGAATTAAAACAAGAATCAGTAATTAAAAACAAATTAAAAATAACATTGTTATCACTAAGAAAACAGTCTCAGTTTAGTGAACATTTTTCTTCTTGCATCCGTTATTTGTTTTCGTTTCCGCACTGTTGATAATCGACACTAGTCCGATAGGCGTGGAAGGATCTAAACTAACTTTATGATGTAATAATTCATTTATTTAAAATCTAAAAGCTTTTTCCCAACCTTGGATAAAAGTAAAGTACATGAACTTTTAAAAACAGATACTGAAAAGAAAATTTCACTGACGAAGGAGAGGTAGGTGAGGACATGCTAAAGGACTCAAGGCAGACTTAAACGCGTTCTGTTCTGTAGGAAGTAAGTCGGGTCTCGGTGAATTGGATAATCAGCTTTTTCAACCTGCTCAGACTAGCTAGAAACAACTGAAAAGGACCGTTAACGTATCACCAGGTATCATATTTGGGCGTGATGAATTAACTTCACCAAGCCATTATAGCGTTTTAACTGTAAACGCTTGAAAAGTGCTCAATTGGGAACTTTTCAAGTGAGTTGCTAAAGTCAATCTGCAACTGCAAAAAATCTAACACAGAGGTTACGAGTGCTAGATTTTAATCACAGTGAATCAAGGAGTTATGAGTTGGATTTAAAATAGTATATCATATGGTAAAGCTACGCTGTTGGTAGGAACTTAGTAAAAAAAGAACAAATTATCTGAATAAAATATATCTTTTTAAGGCTGAATCCATATAATCAATTTTTGCGTTTCACCGCTGACTCGCTCACTAACCAGCACCACACTTTTTAGCAAACTTAACCCTTCAGTCTCTTTGTGAAAATTGTTGATCCCAAAAGAACACAACTTTTGTTCTAAGAGTCAGCTTACCGTATTTATTCGAATAAGCGCCCAACCTCGAATTAGCGCTTACCTCGAATAAGCGCCCATCCTAATGGCAGAAAAAGTTAATAAGCGCCCAGCCTCGAATAAGCGCCCACCCCCTCCTCCTCCCAATCGAACTCAAATAAACGCTCACCCCCACCCCACCCACTTGAGTGAATAAATCTAATAAGAGACTTTCCCGAGGACGGAGTTTTCTTGAGAGTATTTTACAGAAACCTTGCTTCGTTACTTCTTCGCGTTTTGTTATTAGCTTTTATTGTTTTGTTGCAAAATAAGCATACTTCACTTGCTGAAAATGGTGAAAATTTAATAAGCGCCCAGCTTCGAATAAGCGCCCACTCTCAAGGTCCAAAAATTTAATAAGCGCCCAGGGCGGTTAATCGAATAAATACGGGAGCTCCTTTTGTGCCTTTGTTGTTTTGTTTTGAAGCCGGGCTAGGCCTGAAGCGAATGATGGCTGAATCCGCGAGCGGGCAAGATGAAGAGAATCCTGTGTTCTGATTGGCTACCCAAGCTTGCAAGATAAGCATATATTGCCCGCTCGAGATTTCCGCGTTGGTCCCACGAGAAAAATTTCTCTTCCTGGCCAAATAATAAATTCTTTTTTAACGAAGCTTTAATAGTCAAGATGGCTGGATATTGAAATCCTTTTTTTGCGTTTTTATTGACTGCGACTTCGTCTCGGTGCATAAAAACGCAAAAGAGAACTTGGCCAATGTCAGCCATCTTGACCGAACAAACTTACGTTAACCAACAAACATCGTAAGAAATTTTCTTCCATGAATAAGCCGACCCAGCATTTGCAAATTTAAATCAGAAAAACACTAACTGTCATTCTTGTACATAGACGTTACTTATTTATTCCTCTGTCTATTCGCAATGAAATCTGGAAAGGTACACATGCGCAGGTGAGCTTGCTAAACCTTCCCGTCAATCAAAGCGTGAACAAGAAGAGCGACTGGGTACAAGTCAGACACTGGACAGTAACAAGAGACACATTAGATGCATACCAAATACCAGATTGGGATTCGCTTTTCTCAGCTCATGCACCACTTGGAGTAGTTCCTCCAGGAATGACTTGGAACCAACATAACCTGCAGCAACAAAAATATACAGACACAGGATCAACTAAGGTTTCTGGGCAACTGACCACCGACCAATCCCCCAAGTCAACATTGTAACTGAGACTCTTTCGCTGTCATCTTCTGCTTATCTACTGCTCTGGTGACATGGCATAGCCTTACCATAGCCTCCCCGCAGACGTCCTTTGGGGTTCGTTCGTCACGCATTCATTTGCGTGACGAACGAGCCCCAAAGGACGTCTGCGGGGAGGCTAGCCATACCACGGAGCTTGGTGATGTGTACTTTTAAATTGATGAATTTTGATCTTCCAATTTATACGTGATGTGATGTTGTGTCGCTACCTCTATTGAAGGAACACCTCTATTCAGGGGAAAAGGACACTTTTGACTACCTTTCCTGGGGCCCGAAACCAATGTTTAACCTCCATTTGGGGGACACCTTACCACTCAAAACGTGAAGGACCACAAAAAAAGGTTGATAACTTTGGGTGTACACTTGTCAGAATGATGTCATTTTTCACAACATGAACTACCTCACTTAAATCAATGTACTGCACTTGCGGTAATTCGATACACAATATTACAGAGATCATGATTATCATTATTTTTATACATTATCTGGCTGCTTAATAATGTCTGCAGCAGATTCTGAGACAGGATAAAAAAGTTTATATATTAATTATAACTTTGTTTGTTAATTGTTAACAAACCCCGGGACAACCTCCATTCAGGGGACACTTCTATTCAAGTAGCCTCCCACGCAGGCGTTTTTAGGGGAGCTCGTCTTTCGTCCATCCCCACAAACGGGGAGGGACCAAATACGAGCTCCCCTAAAAACGCCTGCGTGGGAGGCTACTATTCAAGGGACACTTCTCTCGGTCCCGAGGGTGTCCCCTGAATAAAGGTTCCACTGTAAGTGCAAATGTGTACTATGGCACTCGTAAGCTTGTGGTAGTTTGAGTCACGCGATATGAGCTATATTCAGTAGAAGATAACTACGAAAATCGCTACGACAGCTCACTTAACGAGGCTTGGTTCGACAAAATACATTGATTTATATGGAATTCTCCGCCAAACCTTCGATAACGTGTACTTAGTGTGGTGGAATGAGCTTTCTTCAATGTTCACCGACATAGAACAAGTAAAATGTGAAAAATCCAGAGGCCATTGTTTCTCAATAGCGTACTTGCGTCCAACATTGTTGTGAAAGCTGTTCAAACGTGACTTACATATTATGATATGGTCCATCGCATACAAGAAATGTCAAAACCAAAGTTGAATATATATTAAACAAGTTTGATCTCTTTTAAACCTGATCTAACTTTGATTAATAGCATTCGACAACGTTTAACAAGATGTTCAAAGGGACCTCAGCATGTTGCCTTCAAAAGCACTAGATGATACAAGGCCAACATGTTCGATCTTTGAACAATTTTTCCGTCTCATTGGGTACCCAAATAAGACAAACAAAATTCAGTATGCATAAAATAACTGTAAAATAGGAAGGGGTGTGTTACAGCAGTCACTCCTTGATTTAGCTACTCTCAATTTGTCATGAAGCTCTCTCTCATTGCGCTTATCAATTGTTTGTTTATTTTCGTAGAGGTTAAGTGCCAATGCACTTCCAGTAGCTGCGGACCAATCCCGTGGGTTTGTTGCGGGAATGAAGAATGTCGACTAAGAAGTTGCTTTGGTAGTTTCTGTCGCCAAGATACTGACTGTTCTAATCAAAGAGACAGATTGATTTGTTGCGGAAATAGATGCATGTTCGGAAGCAACTGCGCGGGAAGAAGTTGTTCCTTGGACTCGGACTGTTCTGTTAATCAAGTATGTTGTCATTCGAAATGTGTTCTAGAAAACCGCTGCATCGGTGAAAGATGTGTGCTTAACTCCCACTGTCGCGCTAATCAAGCATGTTGCAACTCAGTGTGTGTTTCCGGGAAAAGCTGCACCGGACGAAGCTGTTCGATGGACTCGGATTGTTCTGCTAACCAAGTTTGCTGCCATTCAAAATGTGTTCAAGGAAGCAGTTGTTTAGGTCAAAGATGTACGTTTGACTCCGATTGTTCCGCTAATCAAGCATGTTGTAATTCAAAATGCATCACAGGGAAAAACTGTCTCCGACAAAGTTGTGATTTTAACTCCGACTGTTCCAGTGGACAATCATGTTGTAGTGCCAACTGCACTAATGGTTTAACTTGCATCGGTAAATCCTGCATCAGCGACAAAAACTGTCAAGCAACAGAGATTTGCTGTCGAGGAACCTGTTCACTTGTTGGCTGTAAAGACTCTGGACTTGTTGGATACATTGTTGGGCCGATAGCTGCACTTCTAGTCATTTTTCTCATCATAGCGATATTCCTTCTCTATCGACAACGATATGCGAGAAGAAGACAACTCATGTCTAGCGATCAGACATCAAATATCACTGCACCCAAACTGAACAACACAGAAGTCACCAGTAGCATCAGTGGGCAGGATAATCCACTCTACCAATTGCAGGGACCACCATCAGATCAACAAACTGAACACCTGAACACAGAAAGAATACAGCTTCCCCAGTATACATAGCTGAATTATGCTACTCTGCAGAACTCGTTGGCTGCTGGTTTCAAGTGAATCAACTAATGAAACCGGTCTTAAGGGCACAATTAAAGTAAATAGAACAACTTGCAGACTGCAGATATTTTTGTTACTTTTTTCTAGTTGCACTTAATAACTTTAACATGCTACCAGGACAGGTGCTACTAAATGTAAATTCACACAAAAGGATGAACACACATATTTATCTGTGGAATGTTTTTAGGCAGTAGATCAGCTATTTCTCCTTCGCAAAACGTGTGAAATTTTCTGCTGTTTTCTCCAGCTATACCTAGACTGTTCGCAGTCCCCTATTTTTTCGTGAGATCATTTTGATTTACCGCGTCTTACCGTCACGGCTATCTTGATTTTCAAATGTACCAAGGGGGCGGGCGTCGGGGAATATAGCTCTGGTGGGCGGGGGTGGGGGCGAGAAAAATATTTTTCTCGCTTTCTCCCAAACCGCCCCCGCCCCCTAAGCAGTTTTGACACTCATGCAACATGGCAGCCCGTAACGCAAAGCGCTCGATCTCGATGATCTTGCGGAAAAATAGAGGACTGTGAACAGTCTAAGCTATACCAAAATAGCTGAGCTAATTAGTCTCTACTGATTCTCGGTTGCCGTACCTATTTCTACTATTTCTGTCGACATCCTGCACTGTTGACGTCAATTTACTGGATATCGTAAACTTCTTCCAAATATGGCCAACGCTAGCTGGTTATGAAGAATTAGCCGGGGGATTTGAGTCAGTCAAAAACGGAGAAATGTTTTGAATTAACAATAATTCTCATTATTATTGGTGATTACCGTAGCAGAACTTTTACTCCACGGATGAATGTGTGTGTTCATCCTGTTGTGTGCACAAGCGTTGATCGTTGCCACACATTTGATACGATGATTCATACGCTACTGATCAATTGAGACAGCATATCATACAGAAACAGAAGGCAGTCATTGTAACTAGGATAACAAGACTCTACGCATACTATATGCCTTGGAAAACAATTACTAACAAAAAATGTCAGATTTTCGTTTCACTTTTTAACAGAAAAGAAACAAGCTGAGAAACTTACACATTAAACAACTACAAAAAAAAGGAGCAACAAAAGGATGCTTTTTTGAACGAGGACACGTTTTTTCGAACACATATGTACACTCGATACTCAGTAAAAAAATAAAATTGTAACAAAGCCGCAACATTCATTTATCTTTTCCTCGAGCTTTTTCCATTTTCCATCGGTCACTTTCCTCCTGATATTAAGTTCTAAAAATTTGGCATAATTTGCGATATTTCCTGTGTCATGAGGGCAAATGAGACAAGAAAAACTTCCGTAATAATATTTAACAGAGAAAGGCGTCATGAAAGAACGCAAAGACATAGCTCCTTTCATGAAGAACGTTGTTGCGCTCTTCGCCAATTTGTTTATTTTAGTCAGTGCTGACAGCCGATGCGCCGACAACTCCCTTACTCATAGCACACAGTACAAATGCACAGAGAACTATGTTTGCTGCGCAGACCGTGAGACGGCGAGCGTCACCCTAAAACTTGCTTCAAAATTTCTGCCGCCAAGATAAGGACTGTACTAATCAGAGAGATAAATTGATTTGTTGTGGAAACAGATGTGTGTTTGGGAGTAACTTCGCCGGATGAAGCTGTTCTTTGGATTCCGATTGTTCAGTTAACCAAGTTTGCTGTCACTCAAAATGTGTTCAAGAGAGCAATTGCGCCAGACGAAGCTGTTCTTTCGATTCTTATAGATGGTTTTCACAGTGACCTCATCAAATTGTAAAGTCAAAATGGTGCGGTTTTACGAATTCGCATTTACACTAGGTTGAAGATAAACAAAAAGTAAATCTTTGTACAAGTTTCCATTCTCGTAGCATGTTTCATTTCGAAAATACAGCAATTTGAACTTCTGAGTTTTCACAGTGCGTGACACCAAAATAGGAATGCTGTCTCGTTGAAAAAAAAGTCTCTCCTCTTCATTTTCAGCTGTATAACCATTTCAAGCATTAGAAGATATGTTTATGCGCACGTATACCAGTTCTCGAGTGAAAAGAAGGTGCTTTTATGCAGAAAGTGAACTCCAGATGTTTTTGTTGATTTCCGACGGCCATATTGGTGCACCAAAACGGTACATCAATATGGCGTCTCCATACAGAGCTCTACAAAGGCGCGTGAAACGTTTCGGCAAATATCTCAGAAACTGTGGGTCACAAAGACCTGAGGCTTGAACAAATTGTTTATATATTAGTCTTTTATAACATTTCATTTTCTTAGCTTCTTCCACTGGACGGTTTCCAATTTATTTTTTGTTGGGTGACAGTGAAAACGATCTATTGTTTCGCTGATCAAGTATGTTGTCACTTGAAATGTGTTCAAGGAAGCAACTGCTTAGGACAAAGATGCACGTTTGACTCTGATTGTTCCGCTAATCAAGCATGTTTTAATTCAAAATGCACCACAGGAAAAAAACTGTCTCCGCCAACGTTGTTATAATTTCAACTCCGACTCAATAAACATGTTAATTAATGTTTGAGAGTAATTTATCACCTCTTGTTATCACCCATAATATTGACTGATACTCAAATAATAATTATACTCCTGAAATTAGGACATAATTTCACTTGCTTTTTGTCAAAATTCTTTTCTTTCCGGATACGGCTTCCGTTCTCACGTATCCGGTGTATCCGGCAGACGAATCCACGACTTTTTGAATCCGCTTTGTATCCGGAAACGTGTGGACGCTAATAGACTACGAGTAGTCCCCCATTTTTCCTCAGGGATAGTAGAGCGAGCGCGCGTGAAAATCACCCCACGCGAGAAAAGGCTACACGCGTGCACGTTTGTGCGTGTCGCCTTTTCTCGCGTGGGGTGATTTTCACGCGCGCTCGCGTTTCGCTCGCTCTACTATCCCTGAGGAAAAATGGGGGACTACTCGTAGTCTAGGACGCTAAATCCGAATATTTTTTTATCCACTGACGTCACAAGATCGAGCCCAGTTCCTTACGGTGAATATTCAAGACGGGCCGAGCAAAGAAAAATTTGCGGATTCAAAAATATCCGGATACGTGTGGACACGCAAATTCGATTTGCATCCGGATACGTATGGACTTCAATTTTTTTGTATCCTGAAAGAAAAAGTCGCGGCTTTAAAAATATCCGGATACGTATGGGTGGCGCCTTAAATTGTTACACATTTAACCCCACCATCGAAGAACATTTCTTAAAAGGAGTTCGAGTTATCGAGAGGGTCGAACCGGCGAGAGTTCGAGGTTTTGAAGGTAAAAAGAAAAAAATAACAGCAATACAGAGCAAATCCAAAAGAAATCGATCTCAGTAAGAGTTAAAGCGAGCTTTCAGATAAGTTTACGTGTAGTTTATTTTGCCACATTACAAAGGCGAAGAAGAAATTGAATTGAGGTAAAAGGGCGAAGAGAAGCTTGTGGTTGTTAGGCTTCCTCAGATAAAAATGTTACTAGATGAAACTAGTAAGGGCTTGTTTACATGGAGGTGGTGGAACCCTTAGTTAACTTTATGACGATCTATCAAGTACAACTTGGTCACCTGCTATAGACTGCTTGGCCACTGGTAATAAAAGTCCTCATTTTTTTTCCAAATCACAGTTCGGTTTAAACAACAACAAAAAAGAATCACTTGTTACAAAAGGAGGCGACTATGCTAAAGCCACTCAAAGGATTAATCCCAGCAGAACCATATCTTTGAACACGTAACAGTTTTAACTAGGCTTAATCCTATGATGCTACAAAATCAAACCAAAGCTATTAGGCATACATTTTGCAGTTTACATGTGATACAAGAAGGTCATGGTTTCTGAATCTGTTGCCAATAGCTGTTGACGAGACGATTCATCAAATGGAACCGCCTCAGCAATATTTTCACATGAAACGCTTTGCTCTGAAAGGTTTTAAGCAGGAAAATCTGAAATGCAACTTTATTTTCCACTCTCGAGAGTGAGACTTATCATTCACTTGCTATTCCCTTGAAATAACACTAGTTCGTTTATACCTTATCAAATCGTTACGTCTTTTTAATTTCCCACATTACGCCCTGGTTTTCAAAGTCTTTCATCCACCCACCCCAGAAGGAAAAGAAGGAAAGTCCCCTAAAACCGAGGTTTCCCTCATTACACTTATTGTTTACATGGAGTTAAGGGGCCCCAGGTAGGTGAGGTAACCCGCTTAGTTGGGGGTAACCCGCCTGTCCATATAATCTCTCATTTTAATTTGATCACGTTTACATGATAGGTGGGTTGACCCGCCGCTTGTTACCTCACCTATCTGGGTTCACCTACCTCCATGTAAACAGGCCCTAAGATCTCTTAAGCTTTGACTTAAACAAAAGGCAATTCATACAGCATACTAGAGATCACATTTCTTACACAATAACAGCCGATTTGCGTGACGCGGCTGAAACAGAATTATCAGGCGCGTGCGCTCCACCAAATGTAGCTGCGTACGAGGGTGGTGGCTCACTCTGGGTGTCATTTGCTGAAGGTGGTTGGTCGGACGGTGGCCCGTCTGGTTGATAGAGTGGGTTGCACTGTGTAACAGAAGCGGTACCAATGGTGGTGGTGACTTGTTCAGTGTACACTTCGGTGCCATCTTCTCTGGTAGTAAGAGTGGCGGTGATGTTCGTCGTAATATTGGCCGGAATTACCCCCATACCGTTGCGTCGTTTTCGGTGTCGGCAAAAAGCAAGGATAGTAATACAGAGAGGACAGCAAACAAGCAGTGCAACTCCACCAACTGTGCCACCAACAATGTATGCTAAATACGCCTCCTTATCGCACTCCTTTTTGGAGCAAATGCCTCCACAACACGTCTCTAAATCTCCACAGTCAGCGAGATTGGAGCAGGGGCAGCTGCCATTTTGGCATTTGCTGCTACAGCATGACTCACCGCTGGAACAATCTGAGTTGAAGTAACAGTACTTGCCAAAACAACTTTTTCGGCATTTATAATCGCCACAACACACCAGACCAACCGAACACTCACTGTCTATCGTACATTGCTGGCCTAAACAACTGCTTCCGGACACACACTTACTGTTACAGCATGATTCGATTGCTCTTTTGGAACACTCGGAATCATCAGAACAGAAGCTGCCAGCACAGCTTGTTCCATCAACGCAGTCACCATCGCAGCAAACTTGGTCTGAAAAACAGTCAGCAACAGTCAAGCACGCGTTGCTCACAGAGATGAACGAAAAAGCAAGCAGTGCAAAAAAAGCCTTGCTTTTTTCACAGAAAATGAACGCGTCTGAGCGAGCACTATGTACGGCCATGACTCTTGTAAGAAAATCAACCTTTACAAAAAACGCTGAACACAAGCAAAGAACCAATATTACTACTAAGGATATAAGTGCTCGCCAGGGGGCACCCTAAAATATGAATCTTTAGATGAATGCCTCAATTTCATTTGTAGCCACGACACAGATAATTATTTCCATGGTGTTGCAATATTAATGAAGAGTTGCAATTAAGAAATGCCAAGTCATTAATCTCCTCTTCGACGAATGTATTGCAGTGTCATGATAGAAAACGAACAACAGATTGACGTAGCTAGAGGCAAAAGCTTTTGAATGATGAAGATAGTTGCGAGCTCAGCTTATTAATACACAAGTATCAGCAAAGGCAAATGTCTTTAGCGCGGAATTGACCTTTAATTTTTAAATACACGGCCACATCAGCTCCGCTGTAATTTTATCGTGTTTAAATAAATGTTGTTGTTGTTGTCGTGAAAATTAAAAGCTGAATCGCTATTGCTAAGCTTAATTGATGTAGGGGCTTTGTTGAAGAGGTAAAAATGGTGGAAAACGTGTACTATTTATAGAAGCCTTCAGTGTTTACAACGGTATTTTACCGCGAAACCGGGTTCAAGTTTTTCTTCCCCTCAGCAATTTATCGCCATGTAACCGCAAACTTAAAGGGATCAAATCCCAGAGCGAGCCCAACCCAAGCTTTCCCCAAGGCGGAACTTTAGGAAAAAGGTCTAGAGTAACTGCACCTATTAAATTTTTTTCACCAGGTCTGCCCATTTTCCCTAAATCACTTTCCATATGATATCTGCCATAATTTACAATGACTGCTGTGTCATGATTACAGATGAGACAAAGAAACTTCCGCAATCATATTTAATAGAGCCGGAAAGGCGTGATATTAAGAGAAGGTAGAGTCATGGCTTCTTCTATGAAGATCGTTGCACTTTTTGCACTTTTTGACTGTATGTTTATTTTTGTCACGATTATCGGCGGATGCTCCGACGACGGAGATTGCGGTAGAAATAGTGAATGGGTCTGCTGCGGAACGGGGTCTTGGTTTGATGGCGTGTGTCGTCTTGAAAATTGCTTCAATCAGTTTTGCCGCACGGATAACGAATGCGCTAATGATAAAGACAGATTGATATGTTGTGGAAACAGATGTGTGTTTGGGAGTAATTGCGCCAGCCGAAGCTGTTCGATGGATTCTGACTGTTCCGCTAATCAAGCATGCTGTCACTCGAAATGTTCACGGAGAAGTAGCTGCTTCGGTCAAAGATGCACTTTCGACTCCGATTGTTCCGCTAATCAAGCATGTTGTAATTCAAAATGCATTGAAGGGAACAACTGCTCCGGACAACGTTGTAATTTTAACTCCGACTGTTCCATTGGTCAATCTTGCTGTAGTGGCAAGTGCAAGTATGGTTTAACTTGCATCGGTAAATCCTGCATCAGTGAGACAAACTGTCAAGCAACAGAAGTTTGCTGTAGAGGAACCTGTTCAAGTGATTGTAAACATGTTGAATACATTGTTTGGCCGATAGTTGCATTTCTAGCCGTTGTTTTTCTGATCATAGTGATATTACTCATCTATCGACGACGGCAAGCGAAAAGACGACAGCCAACGACTAGAGATATAACATCAAATATCACTGCCCCCACGGACAACACAGGAATCACCAGTAACATTCCTGAAGAAGATTATCCACTCTGCCAGCCACAAGGGCCAACTTTCGACCAACAAATTGAAAATTTCTCAGAAAATGAACAGCTCCTACAATGCTGATCACATTCAAACTCACTGGCCGCTATCGCGTTGAGCTGAACGTGCTGGTTCCATATCTCGCCCAATGTAAGGGAATCCAGATTCCGCAATCCGGGAAATTTTGGCTTGTGGAATCTGGAATCCTGGGTTTTGAAATCCGGAATACAGCTCAAGGAGTCAAGAATCCAAGTTCCACTGACAAACACCGGTATCCAGAATCCCAGCCCGTCTTGGATTCGCTTACATGGGGCGACATATCTATGGTGCTGAAAAATTGACGTTTTTCCTCGGCTCGCGGACTAGATTTTGTTAGCTTTGTTTCGTTGCACGTACTTGTATGTAAACAAGTCAAGTTAAGAACAAGTTTTGCATCAGATAACAACAAAGATTTTTCACAAGAAAAACCTGTCGGCTGAAAAAACATTAGAAAAAGGTTGGATGTATTTTTAAGACGCAGATAAATGAAATGTAATCTTAGTTAAACTGAGTTAAGCTAAATCGTACAAGTTTTACGTAAGGCCAAATAAAAAAAAACACTAAATGAATTTATGGTCACACTCAAAGAACACGTTGACCGACTTTTCTTCATCTCGAACCCGCCCTTTGCCCTTGGAATTTATAGTAGCTGAACACAGTTTTGCAGGCGGTCAGCGGTAACTCGCGTGATAGAGCGTGCTTTAAATTAGACAAACAAACATGACGGCGAAAAAAGCAATGGTACACAGAAGACGATTTCTCAGTAACTATTTAGTAATTACAGTACAATTATATTATTGATTATCCAAAAACACGTCTGTTAAAATTTGGTCAAATAAGTTTCAAATGGTAATGATTAATTATAGTAAGCTGTGTGCAAGTTAATAGGAAAATCTAATGACAGAATTTTATGTAAACTCAGCAAAAGTGAAATTTTAAGGCTCTATTCAATCGTTCATGTTGCCATGGAAACTACGAAAACGTCAAATTTTACCTGTCAATCAAAATCTTTCATCAGTGTATTTTTCACCTGCCAAGTTTCAGCTTGTGAGCAGCAACCTTTCTCTTGCCGTGATTTGGAAAATGACATATACTCACAAACTCCCAAAACTGTGTTCAGCCACCTTTATGTAGATAGTGACTGAAAGAAGCAATATTTGCTAACTCTCAGAGGAGAAGATAGTATCCGGATACTGTCATTGAGTTACTTGGCTGTTTTTACGTCTTCAATGTATCATACCCAAAATTCAAAGACTGTTTTCCCCTTTTTGGTGACTTGGCAAATGGATGACCCAAATCTAATACTAAACGGTTATTTTTTGTCTAGAAATTCCAAAATGAGGTATTATCATCCAGGCTAAATTGGCTGTTTACCAAGGATTAATTGTTCCTGGAGTTAAATTCTTTGATACCGCACATAAATTTGGAACGGACTCCCCTAGAAGCTTCCGCCTTCGGCGCTCCCGTTTAGGAAATTTATCCTAGGTCCGCGCCTGCGTTTTGTTGTACTAAAAACCGTAACCCCGAGGTACTGTAAAGAACGTGCAATAAACGGTTTATTTGCAGTCTTGTCGGTGTTTGATATGAGTTTAGCACGGGCTTCGTGAGTGTTGGTTCGTGATATCTTGAGATTAACATCATTTCCGACCACAATATTCTTCCGCTAAGATTGGCAACTCTTCTTTCATTTTGGGTACTTTTTTTCGAAATGTTACACATTACTGCAACCCTGTTTAGTTTCTCAGGTTGGCTCAAAACCGGTTTTTGTTCTCTGTATTATCACGTTCATTTTTAGCTTAACATGCGAAAGTAAGTGTCGGTCAGTTGTATTACGACATCAACATCATTTCCGACCGTGGCATTCTTCCGCTAAGACTAGCTGCTCTTCTTACTTTTTGTAATTTACATGTAAAGCCTTTCGGGCCCTCAGTTGTGTGATCGAGCAGGATTGTTAAATTACGTTTAAAACTTAATGAAACACGAACTGTGAGTTTATTGAACGGCGTCAAAAACGTCTGCTGTATATCTTTCTTGTACTAATATTCAGATAGTTCGGGGCTATTTTGGTCTTGAAAATTGGAACAAACGTTCCCCCAATGCAGACATTCATTAACCACTAATTTCTTTGGCATTTTTTCTTTTTATTTTGGCGATGAAGTTAAGTTGGGTAGAAAAGTTAAACAACGTCAAATTTATCTTATGGTGTTATCTGAAACACAAACAACGACATCAGCATGCACAATAGCGATAGCGTCGTTGAATTTGATTAGGCAGTGATGAATGGAGAGATCTTTTGACCAAAGACTTTCCTCTGGGGTATCGAGTCGTTTCGTTACAGAAATTACTGTCGAAGCTTCATTTTGCTACAAAGGGTAAAGTGTAAAAAAGGTAAAGGCGCACACGAGCCAAAGGCTTAAACGGCTGGAGCTTATCCCGGTTTCCTTAGCATGGAAATGCCTAAGAGTATTGCTGCTCCTCCCTGGACGGGATCCTTGTCGAGCGTAGGGTTCCCCCAGCAGTGAAGAGAGACAAAGTTGACAAAGTATAAACCTGTGATTATTTTTGGTTCTTTAAGTACAAATGAGCTTTTTGTTTTGGAATAAGAATATTCATGTAAAGAGTAAATTCACTGGAATACAACGACATCCATTAAATTTTAAAATATAGCAAATCAATCATGCTCATTGCGAGTCATCTGGTAACCACCTTTGGCTTATGATCAGAATCAATCTCTCCTTGTAATATCGACGCTTTTTAACACGGAGTCACAAGAATGGTGAGAATAATCCAACAAGACGAATTTGTTTGATATTTTAAAGACTATTCCAAACTACTGCTATCGAAAATGCATGTATAGAGGCAAAAATTAAGCATTCAAATTTTCATATTAGGGTCAACAAAAAACTTAAGAAGACGTCCAAACCGAATAGACTAAATAATCGAAATACGAACCGTTTATTTTTTTAATGCTTTAATAGATGTAGGCTTCCACCAAACTGTATCCGCTCTTTTTCACAACCTTTTAATTTATTACTTTAACGTGGATTTAACTTACTAGACCAAGTTAAGATGCACTGTTCGGTATCGTCAAACGCGTTCTGAGGAACACAGGTCTCGTGCAATCCTCAGCTGGTAGGTGTTAATCTGTAGGATGGTGGCTGCTCACGTTGGGTGTAATTTGATAGAGGTGGTTGGTCGGACAGTGGCCCCTCTGGTTGGTAGAGAGGGTTACATTGTGTAACAGGTTCTGAAGAGATGCTCGTGGTTATTTGTTCTGTTAGTACTTCAGTGCCATCTTCTCTAGTGGTGACAGTTGTGGTGATATTTGTTGTGATGATGTGAAGTATATGAAATAATTCATTTTTGAACTGCGGTTGTAGATGAAAGTGAAGAATGATCATCGCAGTAAATTTTCCAATTTAAGCAATTGGAAGGAAGAAGCCGGAAAAAAATCAGGGCTTCAACGGGATTCGAACCCGTGACCTCCGCGTTGCCGGTGCGTTGCTCTACCAATTGAGCTATGAAGCCAGACATTGGGAGCGAGGTCAATTTATTGAGTTCATATCTCCCGTGAGGAGTGAAAAGATGTGAAGTATATGAAATAATTCATTTTTGAACTGCGGTTGTAGATGAAAGTGAAGAATGATCATCGCAGTAAATTTTCCAATTTAAGCAATTGGAAAGAAGAAGCCTGAAAAAAAAAAATCGATCCCGTTGAAGCCCTGATTTTTTTTCAGGCTTCTTCTTTCCACTTGCTTAAATTGGAAAATTTACTGCGATGATCATTCTTCACTTTCATTTGTTGATGTTGCCTTCGAGAAGTAGTCGAATAAGCCGTCAGCGACGAATCGCGACGATTGAGGAAACTATAGCAACGAGGACTGCTCCACGCCTGCAGCTGGACCTATAATGTAGGCCAGTTGAGAGTCGTCGTTGGAAGAATCCTCTTTACAGTGTCTTGAGCAACTTCCTTTGCAGCAAGACTCCCCTGTACCTTGCCAGTCATCGTTGCTGGAAGAAGATTGACCGATGCAGATCGAGCCATTATTACATTTGTTATCAGGGGCACCCAACGACTGCTTTCTGTGAAATATCTGTTCGGAGAAGCAAATATTGCCAAGAATTTGCCATTGCTTGAAAACGGCTAAAAAGTTCTAGATGATCGTTCAACTCATGTACAATTTTCGAAGCTTATCTAATAAATGTCCTACGACTTTCTGAAGTTTAATTTTCACTTTCCACTTCCCAAGTTAGGCTGTTTTTCGTAGAGTGAAAGGGAACCTAAAATTTTCGGATTCAAAAGTGCATTGGTGAGAGAAATCAGAAAATGTCTCACTTTCGTAATACGTCAAATTGGATCTAAAATTTTCGGGAAAATAATACTCAAACCCTTGTAATTTCGAAAAGACTCAAGTTCCCCTAAGATGACCGAACAGGTACAGATTTTATAGCGCCGCTTAGAATGAGTTTCTAGATATTTAAAAGTACTCTGGATAGCCTAAAAAGTGTCAGCATTGTATTTAGGAGGAAACCGTCGTTGGGTGCCCCTGTGTTATTACAGCAGGACTGACCGCTGGAACATTCTGAGCTGAAAGGACAGTATTTTCCAAAACAACTTTTTCCTACGGCGCATTTTGAATCGCCACAACACGCCTGACCAAGAGAGCAATCACTGTCTAACGTACCAGGACTGTCACGACCAGAGAAGATGGCACTGAAGTACTCACAGAGCAGATCACAACTGGCATCTCTTCAGAACCTGTTACACAATGTAACCCACTCTACCAAACAGAGGGGTCACCGTCCAACCAACCACCTCCACCAAATTACACCCAAAGTGACCAACCACCACCATACTCAGCAACCCCCACCGCTGGAGCATCGCACGAGACCTGCATTCCTTCAAAACGCGTTTGTTAACTTGCCACGTAAAGGGGCAGGTGTTGTGTGAGAAAACAGGGAGGTAACGAGAATTAAGAACATGATCAAACACGACAAAATTTACTTGATATTTTTAAGCGATAATATGTTGATCATAAGTCGCAAGCGGCTACCATGAAGTCGTCTCGCAACGTAGCCTGCGATCATGCCCTCTCCCTTTATCTCTGCAATCTGTGTTCGGGAGGAGGGCATGATACATTTCTTTCACAGATCACATGCAAAAAAGCCAGAATCTGGACTTTTTTCTGATTGGATAGGAAACAATACGGATGATTTGCGCTGTTCCGATTGGCCAAAACGCCGCCATCCGTTAGTTGTCGTTGATTTCAGTTTGCATTTTTGCTTGCGTATTGAGCAGTGCACACGCGAGTTCGTTATGAAATCTCTGCCGGCTCAGTTTTCTTGCCAGTTTGAAAAATGTCTAAATAGAAATTTCATCCATTGAATTATTTTCCATTTCGTCGTATACTAAAAATTGTAGTCAAAATTTCACCGATTATTTGAATTCAATTTGATACCGGCTACAAGTTACAGAAGCGACAAACGGGTTCACTCTTCAAATAATTAATTCATGAATGGAATCTTGACCTGGTTTGACTGTAATTCCTGTCATTCCTCCTTCAGAAACCTGTGAATTAGTCTGAGCGATCTTCGCTTTCACAACACTTTTCAGTTCGTTAAATATGGTGCTTCGGCCTAATTTTTTTTTCAGAACTTTCGGCACATAACGAAGTCAACGAGCTTTTACCTGTAAATTCTTTATTATTTGTAGCTGTTAAATAAAGCTACGGCAGCTCCAACTAGCAGTATTTCGTCACAAAAAAAAGATTTCTAAATTTTTCCTAGGAAGCGCCATCTGAACGTACTTAAACGTTTTCTTTTCCCTAAAATTTATTTCGAAAGAGACATTATTCCCGCCAAAATTTGATTCCCTTCTGTTAAACGCTGATTGGCTAATAACGTGACAGGTCAAGCAGACGTTACATTATGTAAATTAGGGGGCGGTTGATGGCTTGTTAAATAAATGTATCAGGCGTAATTTTTTCCCTCTCGAGCCAAAGAAGCAAAGAAGCAAAAAAAAAAATTACGCCTGATCTCAGGTTACTCGCAACGCTGAAGACCTTCTTTAATTCGCTAAATTTTAAATTTAATATATGTCATAACGTTCAAGTTAATTTAAAAAATGAACTTTATTTGAGCACCCCGGGAAGGGACCGCCATTTTACGTGGTCATCCGAGCCACCCGAAGGTCTAGCCATTTGCAATACAAATGGTGTATCTTCATTTCTTAGTTAATTTAAGGGTGCGTTCGATTGGGAAATCTAGATTTAGTTTTTAAAATCCGGATTTAGGATTTGCAATCGAACGCGAAATCCGAAAATGGATTTACACGCTGAAATATTTGTTTTTGGATTTTCCTTTTTACCGTTCGATTGGGAAATCCGAAAAAGGATTTGAAAAACTGTCCTTAGGAACAGCGGTCTTGCATGCGCACGCATAATTAGTAAAAAGAATACCGCTGATCACGAGAACAGTTTAGTAAATCCTTTTTCGGATTTCCCAATCGAACGACAAAAAGGGAAATCCAAAAAATCCGGATTTGGATTTCTTAATTGAAATCCACCCTGAGGACGGATTTCTCGGAGGTGAAATCCGTTTTCGGATTTCGCGTTCGATTGGGAAATCCGGATTTAGATTTTGAAAATCTAAATCCGGATTTCCCACTCGAACGCACCCTAAGACCCTAAGAATTGGTCTGACCCTGAGAATCGAACCCACGACCTCCCGCTCTACAGTCAAGCGCTCTAGCGACTGAGCTAGTCCTGCCGCGGTTATATCCTCTTTATAATTTAGAACAAAAAATTACAGCTTCGTTTACACTCGAGGAAGAATATCGTGGTATATAACACTACCGCGCAACACTTCTTCGAATATGAGACACGATGTTTTAAGTCACTGACAAGGGAGTGTAAATTGTGACAAAATACTATGTCGAATCCCAAACACTAAAGTGATTCCAGGAGGGGAAATTTTGAGAGAAAAATTGAGGAGTTTTTTTTTATGTGATTTCAAAACTATCATCAAACATTAATTTCTCTACTATTTTATGAATCATTAATTGAGACGATGAAATGAAAACGCAGCAATATGGAGCTCAGAAACGTTGTTGAGCCAAGCTAAGAAACTGAATAGGGGTGCAAAAATGTGTACCACATATAATAAAAAAAATAAAAAAAATAAAACTTGTTTTCACAATCATCACATGACATTTCACATTATATTTTTGGCTGTTATGAAAATGATTATCATAAAGAACAGGGATACTGTTGTATCTAACAACGTCAAATTCGAAATCTAACGCACCGCTACATCAGATATTAGAATTGATTACTGTCTATTCATTAATATATTAACTATATATGAATTTAAAAAATACGCACACTGACAAAATATTTGCAAGTAGCTGAAATGTTTCCGCCATAGCAATATCAGGAATTAGGCCTGTAGCTATATCAAAAGCCGTTCTTTTTATACCAGGTAACGGTTCACATGGAAACGATGGCAATTTGCTGACTCATAGACTTCATGTTATTGCGAGAATCACTCAATGTGGGGGGTTTAACGCTCGAACAATTTCATTTTCTTTTTGTGTCTTTCGAAGAATAATGGGATTTTTCTCATCACACGAAAAGCGAGAATAGAGGTTAAGTGTCTCAGATCAATCCCAACTACTATTCTACAAAATACTAAATAAAAAGCCGCTAGTGAGTGCTGTACTTTGTCTTGAAAAGTGGTTTACATTTCTGGAAATAAGGAAGGCCGATACAGGTGGCTCTGACGTAAGAGAAAGCCTATAAATTTATATTGTGAGAGAAATGCGTTTGCAGCAACATTGGACCACGCGAACCCGAGAGCCGAGGACTCGCAAATCTAAAGGATGGCATTAATAGGAGTTGGTATGGTGCGCTGTTTATCTTACAGGAAGAATGTTATATTGTGTACGTTGATTGTTTTGGGGGCATTTATTTCTGGCGTGAAGTGCATCGGTGAATCCTGTTTCAGCTCAAGCGATTGCAGATATTCCGGGGAAAGGTGTTGCAGACAGACTTCAGTCGGGATTTGTCACTTCAAAACAACACCTTGCCTCGGTGATTACTGCTCTTCCAGCTCTCAGTGTCCGCGTAACTCGGTATGCTGTGGTCGCAGATGCGTTCCAGGCAACAATTGTGTCGGTCGCTCCTGCGTGCTGCAGACGGGATGTGGTTTCGATGAATCATGCTGTAATGATGTGTGTGTTCAAGGGAAAGATTGTAGTGGTCAAGGCTGTTCTTATGACCATGACTGCTCTGGTGGTCAAGTTTGCTGTGGTAAGAAGTGTAAAAATGGCACGAAATGCAATCTGGACATCATCATACCTGTTACCGCAGCATGTGCATTTATTGTCATTGTTGCTATCGTAGTCTTCGGCTATTTTTATAACCGGAAGCGGCAACAACGTTTAGTGGCATTCTCCAACGTTCCTTTCGGGCACTTAACACAAAGCACCACATCTCACCTCCCGCAACCGGCCATCAATACCTTCCAACAGCCCCCACCATTGTATACAGCAAGTGTAACACCACCGCAGTACACATTAACATCAAGCAATGGATCCGACGGAATGAATGCCACTTTCAAAGCCTCTGTTACTTCCCCAAATCATCAATGAAGTTTGCATGTCTTGTGATCACCCGATGGAATATGACTCAGTTTATGACGGTGCATTACGACGGCGACTACGTCGCAAAAAGAAGGAAAATTTGACCGTCGCTTGTTCATGTCCTCCATAAAACGTGAAAATAAACTTTTTCACGTCGTGGTGGTGTGGTGACGATAAAGAATGTACAGAAATGTGTTGCTAGGTAGTGTTGTAGTCTGCATAGCAAGCCTTTCCGCGCGAGTTTGTCGAGAAAGTGTGGACGTGAGCAAAAAACAGGGCTGGTACTCTTTTGAGTTCTTCAAGTTCATGACTTTCCATGACTTTTTCCATGACCTTAGGTTTAGCTGCCACGTTAAATAATTCTCAAAATTTTCCTTTTTTTAGGGTATTTTTTGCCCTAACTCAGTACAACAAACAAACTCTGGTGTCCACTAAAATGCGTACCATTTGCAATGTTAAATCACTCGTCTCTACGTTACATTACCCTTGCTTTGATATCTGCAGTGACTAGTCTACCAAACATGTAGCCTTAATTTCCCATGACTTTCCAGGACCGAAAACTAAATTCCATGACTTTCCAGGCATGGAAAATGAAATTCTTAAATTCCATGACTTTCCAGGTTTTCCATGACCTGTACGAACCCTGAAAAAAAGGAATGACGGGGGAGGGGAGGGGAGAGAAGGTTTCCTTTTCTCCCCACCCCTTCCCCCCTCTATTTGTTTTTAGCTCCCGCTCTACCTTTCGCGCAATAACTCGATTGAAAACGCTTGCTACGCAGGCTAGTAGGGCTAGTAGTATTGTTGCTAGATAGGGGTTCTGTTCACACATAGAACGATGATTTCGGCGCGATTTCCGTAACGGTGCGAAGCAGCGCCGCGCCGATCTCTTAAGTGGAGACTGACATATCGGATAGGTATTTATAATTTTCCGGATAGCTTTTCGTGTCGGCACGAAAACCGAGCTATCCGTAAAGTACGAAGATGTCCTTAAGGTCCCTGGTATAGGAACAGGCGCCCCCCGCTCGGGCGGGAGGTACCTCCTTATAAGAGGCTAGTGGGGATGTGCCGCTGGATTGGGTCGCATTTTCACGACTGGATTGACTATAATGGGGCTGCATTTTCAAGGGAGTATATAGAATAGGGTCGCACATTTTCGGATTTTTGGGGTAAGAAAGTTTTTTACATTAACGGTTAGTAAAAGTAACTCAATCTTTCTACTGTACGTAAAAAGTAAAGTCATCAGTCATTTTAAAAAAATGGGTCAATTCATTTTAGGATGAGCTATTTAAAAGATTGATAGGGTAGATGCATAAATAGAAAGTGACTAAGTGGGGATCGCGAAAATTACATTTGCCCAGAAGTGACTACAATGGGATCTACACGGGCTCTGAGAGGCTAGCGGCACATACACAGCAAAAATTAATCTAAGTACCCTCTCCCTGGGGGTACGCAATAAGAGAAACATGTAATGTCAAAAATACATTCTTTAAGTGAGAAATAAAAGTGATTTCCTCGTTCTTTGAAAAAAGAAAAAAAGGCGTGCCACGCTTGAGTTAATTCCGCATACCGCGTAGCCACTGTTTTTCAGTCTCGTAGTCAATGTGGCAGGGTAAAGTTGTAAAAAACCGAAACGAATTCAGTCAGCTGACCAGTGACTGTAAAATAGTCGTAGGCCGAGACTGAAGATGCAATAAAGTGTACATCACGGTCGACCCAAGGAGCCTCGCGAGAGAGTTATGACGTCACTAGTGGTGCAAAGATTTGTGGTTAAAATTAGTCAAGTCAAGTCCTCTTATGTCTCACTATCACTCACTTCCTTAAATTTCTGATAGCGCTTGTTAAATTTTATGCAAGTTCAATAAAGGTAATAAATCAATTGAAAATTCTGCAGTACAGCTTTCGCATAATATTAAATCAATCAGAGGTTCAGGTTACACTGGATCCGAAAAGAGTGACCCTATTTTAACAATGAATCATCTTGGCAACGTCATAGGGTTTACCGATAATTTATCGCTAATTGAGGCCATTAAAAATTGGTTTATATTTCCGTAAGTAAGTAAGGCGGATACAGGGGGATCTGACGTAAGAAAACGCCTATAAAATATACATATTTTGGGGGGAAAAAACCGTCTCAACCAACATTTGATCACGCGAAGTCGAGAAGCGAGAACTCGCAAATCTAAAGGATGGCATTACTAAGAGTTGGTATGGTTCTCTGTTTATCTTACAAGAAAAATGACATATTGCGTACGTTGATTGTTTTGGGGGCATTTATTTCTGGCGTGAAGTGCATCGGTCAATCCTGTTCCAGCTCGAGCGATTGCGGATATTCGGAAAAGTGTTGCAGACAGACTTCAGTTGGGAGTTGTCGCTTCGAAACAACACCTTGCCTCGGTGATTACTGCTCTTCCAACACTCAGTGTCCGAGTAACTCGGTATGCTGTGATCTCAGATGCGTTCCAGGCAACAGTTGCATCGGTCGCTCCTGCGTGCTGCAGTCGGAATGTGGTCTCGATGAATCATGCTGTAATGATATGTGTGTTCAAGGGAAAGATTGTAGTGGTCAAGGCTGTACTGATAACTTTGACTGCTCTGGTGGCCAAGTTTGCTGTGGTCAGAAGTGTAAAAATGGCACGAATTGCATCGCTCAGTCCTGTTCGAAGAGTAGCGATTGTCAAATTTCAGAAAGCTGTTGTAGTGGGACTTGTCAAGGTTCAGATTGCAATCTATACATCATCATAGGAGTTACCGCAGCATGTGTAGTTACTGTCATTGTTGTTATCGTAATCTTCGTCTATTTTTATAACCGGAGGCGGCAACAACGTTTAATGGCATTCTCCAACGTTCCTTTTGGGCACTTAGAAGAAAGCAACACACCTCACCTCCCGCAACCGGTCAATAATACCTTCCAACAGCCCCCACCAGAGTATACAGCAAGTGCAACACCGCCGCAGTACACATTAACAACAAGCAATGGATCCGGCGGAATGAATGCCACTCCAAAAGCCTCTGTTACTTCCCCACATCATCAATGAAGTTTGCCTGTCTTGTGATCACCCGATGGAATACGACTCAGTTTACGACGGTTCATTACAACGGCGTCCTAATTTACTTACTAGGGACTTAAGAACCGAGGACGGCGACGGCAACGGCGACGAAAACGTCGCTTAAAAAGTGAATTAGCATTTTTTCGATCTTCATTTCAATTATTCCATTTCATTTTCTGTGTCAAATGTAGGCGAAATCTACTGGAGTTGAATTGCTAAGGAAAGAGAAGGAAAATTTGGTCTTCGCTTGTTTTTGTCCTTTATAAAACCTGAAAATAGACATTTTCCCGTCGTGGTCGTGCGTTGACGGCAAAGAAATGTAGAAGAAAGAAAGTGTGCTGCACGTGCAACGCTGCTGCTGTTGTTGTTTTTTCAGAACCCATTGATTTTCTGACCCCTTCTCGTCGCTGTCGCTGTCGTCCGATTTCAGGCTGTGTCCACTTTACCGGATAGCTTCTTAGCCGGCATAAAACTTTACCAGACAGGGCTTATGAACACAGAAAGAACGGCACAATTTCTGTAACGGAGCGAAGCAGCGCCGGGCCGATCTTTAAAGTACAGTCACATAAAGGATAAGTGTTCATGCTATACTGGATAGCTTTTGGTGTCGGCACGAAAACTGAACTATCCAACACAGTATGAACATAGCCTTAAGGTCCCTGGTAGCTACATGGTAAACGGTACGCTGTAAGTAATAACGTCAAGAAATACATGTATTCCCTAAGTGAGAAATAAATTCCCAAAATGAACGCGCGTCTAGTTGTGATATCCTCGTTCCTTACAATAAAGGCCCTAAAGCAAACCAAGCATGCCATCGATGATATTTGCAAGCAGCTGAAATGATTCCGCCATAGCAATATCAGGAATTAGGCCTGTAGCTATATCAAAACCCGTTCTTTCAATACCGGGTAATGGTTGACATGGAAACGATGGCAATTTGCTGACTCATAGACTTCATGTTACTGTGAAAATCACTCAATGCGGGGAGGTTTAACGCTCTAACAATTTCATTTTGTTTTTGTCTCTTTCGAAGAATAATGGGATTTTTCGCATCAATTGAAAAAAAAAAAGAATAGAGGTTAACTGTCTGAGATCAATCCCAACAACTATTCTGTAAAATACTAAATAAAAAGCCGGTAGTGAGGTCTGTACTTTGTCTTGAAAAGTGGTTTACTTTTCTGGAAATATGGAAGGCGGATACAGGTCGCTCTGACGTCAGAAAAAGCCTATCAAATTTATATTCTGGGATAAATGCGTCTGCAAAAACATTTGACCACGCGAAGTTGAGAGCCGAGAACTCGCAAATCTAAAGGATGGCATTACTAGGAGTTGGTATGGTGCTCTGTTTATCTTACAAGAAAATGTCATATTGTGTACTTAATAGATTATTTTGGGAGCATTTATTTCTGGCGTGAAGTGCATCGGTAAATCCTGTTCCAGCTCAAGCCATTGCGGATATTCCGGAGAAAGTGCTGCAGACAGACTTCAATCGGGATTTGTCACTTCAAAACAACACCTTGCCTCGGTGATTACTCAGGGGCACCCAACGTCAATTTGAGAAAAATAACTGTTCGGAAGACGATTTGAGATCTAGAATTTTCGGAACATTTTTTGTAAAATTTCTTGCTAGCCTGCCTCTCCCAGGATTTTCGAACATCTAAAAAATGGTATAATTGCCCATTTTTACCCTAAAAAGGTCACCTAGAATGTTCGGGAGCCTTTTTTCTGGCTGAAATTTTCTAAAAGGTAAGATTTTCGGATCACTACACTTTCAGCTAGGAAATCCAAACAGATGAAAAATTTTTAGGGGATAAAAATATGTCTATATATACCGTTTAAATACTAAAATACGTTTACAATGCTATGATTAAGTAGTTTTGAACTATATTCTCGTTGGGTGCCCCTGATTACTGCTCTTTCAACACTCAGTGTCCGCGTAACTCGGTATGCTGTGGTAGCAGATGCGTTCCAGGCAAAAGTTGCATCGGTCGCTCCTGCGTGCTGCAGTCGGGATGTGGTTTCGATGAATCATTCTGTAATGATTTGTGTGTTTATGGGAAAAATTGTAGTGGTCAAAGCTGTACTTATGACTTTGACTGCTCTGGTGGTCAAGCGTGCTGTGGTAAAAAGTGTCAAAATGGCACGAAATGCAATCTGAACATCATCATACCTGTTACCGCAGCATGTGCGTTTATTGTCATTGTCGTTATCGTAGTCTGCAGCTATTTTTATCACCGGAGGCGGAAACAACGTTTAATGGCATTCTCCAACGTTCCTTTCGGGCACTTAACTGAAAGCACCACATCTCACCTCCCGCAACGGATCACCAATCCCTTCCATTAGCACCCACAAGAGTATACAGCAAGTGCAACACCACCGCAGTACACATTAACATCAAGCAATGGATCCGGCGGAATGAATGCCACTCCAAAAGCCTCTGTTACTTCCCGACATCATCAATGAAGTTTGCCTGTCTTGTGATCACCGGATGGAATACGACTCAGTTTACGACGGTTCATTACAACGGCGTCCTAATTTACTTACTAGGGACTTAAGAACCGAGGACGGCGACGACAACGGCGACGAAAACGTCGCTTAAAAAGTGAATTAGCATTTTTTCGATCTTCATCTCAATTATTCCATTTCACTTTCTTTGTCAAATGTAGGCGAAATCTACTGGAGTTGAATTCCTAAGGAACATATCTAAAGGCCATAAAGAGAAGGAAAATTTGTCGTCCACGCCGTAAAGAGAAGGAAAATTTGACCGTCGCTTAATCATGTCCTCCATAAATCGTGAAAATAAACATTTTCACGTCGTGGTGGAGCGGTAACGATAAAAAAATGTACAAAAAAGTGTGCTGCACGTGCGAAGCTTTTGTTAGGTAGTGTTGTAGTAAGCATAGCAAGCGTTTCCACGCGAGTTTGTTGAGAAAGTTGGGGCAAGAGCAAAAAACAGGGTTCATACTCTTTCGAGATTTTCAAATTCATGACTTTCCATGACTTTTTCCATGAACTTTCCACTTTTTCCATGACCTTAGGTTTAGCTGCCACGTTAAATATTTCTCAACAACAACAACGAGCTTTATTTGCATGCATACAAGCACATACAGTATTGCAAAAGCTATGTTTAGGAATCAACATTACAACACAGGGCAATTACGTTACTTTGATAATAATTTGTTACGAACATCAAAACAAGCTAAAATATATTTTATGAATTGTATATTGATAAAGTAATAAGAAGAGTTCATCAGTTCATTGATCAAACCGTTTATAGGTAACTGGGTAATATCTGGAATTAGACTCTTGACTTTATAGTAAAATTTATTCCTAATCATAGAGTATGTAGGACACTGGAAAAGAAAGTGAACTTCGTCTTCTATTACATTGCATCTACAAAAACGGCAATGCCTATTATCCTTCGTAGTTTTACTAAAGCCCTTCTCCCAGCTGTTCCTCTTCTTAAGTCTAAGTAACTAGAGGAGGTATGATCGGTTTTAAAAGATCTACAAAATTCAAGTTTTTGAGAATGTTGAGGGGTGTTTTGCCAATATGAGATATATTCCTGTTTCATTGAACTTACATAGCTTTTTACCATAGCTATATCTAATAAATCAGGGTTAAAGTCAGGAAGCTTAAAGTGTTGTGATATATTCATAAAATGAGAGTGGAAACTATTTTTGCCATTACAGTGTAAGTCGAATGACAATAAAAACGCTTGCTTGACGAGAGATTCCTCATCTTTAGACTGTATATACAAAATGTATTTGAGAATTTTTTGATTGATAGTGATATTTAAAGGAAAACGACCAAGCTCTGCTCTACAAGCTATATTAGAGGCTTTGTTGTTTACCTCCGAGTATCGCTTACAAAATTGAAGGTGTGCCTTCTTGTGCGAGAGCTGCTTTTAGTTTGCTAAGATTCGTGTGTCGTCTCAAGCTGAAGAGGGCATGAAGAGCTTTCTCCTCGAGATGTTCACGTGACTGACGAATTTCCCAATGAGGACATTCGAGTTCCTAAGTAAGTGTACTCTTGTACAACATCAATTATTTGACTATCTATGAGAAAGTGAAAATCATCATTTTTTCTCGCACGTTTCTGAAAAACCATAATTCTTGTTTTCTTGGGATTGATTTTCATCATCTATGAAGTACAGAATGAAGATAGTTTATCGAGGCAATCTTGTAGTCCTGTTGTGGATCGTGATAAAATGATTAAATAGTCTGCATATATATGAGAATTTAGTTTTGCACCGTTTGGCAAAGCAAAAGGATCAAATAATATATTTTCAAATGCGAAAGGTAGGTCGTTAATATAAAGATTAAAAAGCAGTGGACTTAAGATACAGCCTTGCCGCACACCTCTCGCATTACGGAATGATCGCGTTTGTTTTGGGGCAATTTTAATCGAGCAGGAAGAGTTGTGATATAAGTTTTTAACTTAGTTATAAAAAGAACCACCTCCATCAATTTGCAGCAGCTTATTCAAGAGCCCGTCATGCCAGACCGAGTCAAAAGGGTCTTTGAAATCTACAAAACAAGCATAGATCTTTTCGTTGTGATTATGAACGTACTTATCTATCAAGGTTCGGAGAGTGAAGACGTGGTCTGCTGTGCGGTTATTCGGTAAAAGGCCAATTTGAGATTTGTGGAGTATATTCACAGAAACGATATACTCGAAAAGTCGTTGGTTCAAGATAGAACAAAATAGTTTTCCCAGGCAGCTGGAGACACAGATACGCCGGTAGTTTGCCGGATCGCTTCTTCCGCCCGATTTATAAATGGGAGTAACAAGACCACCACAACAAGTCTGTGGCATGGTCCCTTGGTTAAGAATTGAATTAAATAGTTTTTCATATACGGGCATCAGTGTATCAATACTAGCTTTCATCATTTCATTTCTAATTTTATCCGAAAATGGTGATTTATTATTCTTTAACTTTTTCGCAGCTTTACGCATTTCTCTTTCAGTTATCATGAAATCTAAAGTACGAGAGTGTTGACCATGGCATTCATTTTGTCGTAGCTCATTGTAAATGTCTTGCTGTGCTGGGTTAAGAGGTTCATTTGAATGAAGATTGTGGAAATATTGTAGCCAATTTTCTTCCGAGATTGATGGAACATCCTCTCCTTTTCTAGTGTCGTCCGTCGATTTGAGGCATTGCCAGAAAGTTTTCGCGTCTGAATTGTCTCCAGTTTTTTCTAGCTCAGAAATCTTGGCATTGTAATAATCATTCTTTTTAGAATTAAGTAATTTCTTGTATTGGGCCAGAGTATCATGGTATTGCTCACGTATGGTATAGTATTAAAAGGGTCTTGATGTTTCTAGTTTTCGTAATTCATGCCTTTTCAAACGACATTCTTTATCGAAACATTTTTTGTTTGATAATGATTTGATACGCTTACACGTTTTACCTGCTCTTATCTTTAAACAATACTTAGCCGTTGTGATTAAAATGTTTTCCACCTTTTCGAAGGATAGCTCAGTATTTTCATTGAATGTGTCGCCGGCAATATAATCGCGTATTAGTGTTTGTATACAGGGAGACCTCAGAGCGTCCTTGAGTTTTTGAGCGGAGTCGTTTTCCCAAAGAAATTGTTTCGGTAAACGCGTTGAAGTATCTCCTTCAAGTGTGGTGGGATTGTAACTCGTCTTTTTGTTAATATTCAGGGGCGGATCCAGGGGGAGGGTGCAGGGGTGCGCACCCCCCCCCCCCTGGGATGACCTGCGGCCACTTTCTAATCAACACTGTGCAGTCGCTTCACAGACATACAAAATCTGCTCTATCGTTTGATATGTATTCTCAGCAGTTCACATTATGTTATGTCCTAGTCAAAAGCCCTCTTCGTATTTGCTTTTAAAATTTTTTACGTCATCAGTCAGTTAGTGGCGCACCCCCTCCTAAGAAAAATCCTGGATCCGCCCCTGATATTCAGCCAAGTAGTAATAGGGCTATGGTCTAACAAATGCAGTGGACCTTTGACTACAAAATTTACAACGTGTGATAAAAGACCCTGGTCACACACTACGTAGTCAACTACACTCACTCCGTTTTTTCCATGAAACGTTACTCTTCCTAGGGTATCACCACTGACTCTTCCCTGTAGAATCCTAAGGTCTGCACTTTTACAATTTCAAGGAGCCTTTTAACGTGACTGTTTAATTCGTTAACAAAACGATTTCTCTGGGTTGGGCAGAGAGAGAATTCTGATTGGTCGTTTGTAATGAGGTTATTCCCTCTTTACAAACACTGTCGGAATACTTTCCAGTTCTAGCGTTCAAGTCACCCATAAACTCTCTTCTTCAAATAATTCTACATTGAAATACGGTGAATTACACTGATGTATATAAAGGCCACACGTATAGATAGATATCTTTGACGGTTTTGGCATAGTCTTTGTCAATCTTGAACCATAGGAAATTGCAGGTCTTTTTGACAATTGAAATCCAGTCATGAAATGTATTTTAAAAAGGTAAGACTATTCCGCCGGAATCCCGACCGCCTTTTCGCGATTGAGTAGCATCCTGAGTCACAGATCTGAATCCCCTCACTTCAACAACATTCGAACGCGTCTCAAAATCTTCCTTGTTTTACGGTATTTTTGCCCTAACTCAGCACAACAGACAAACTCTGGTGTCCACTAAAATGCGTACAATTTGCAATGTTTAATCAGTCGTCTCTATCTTACATTTTACTAGCATTAGTATCTGCAGTGACTAGTCTCCCAAACATAGCCTTAAGTTTCCATGACTTTCCACGCCTGGAAAATGAAATTCTTAAATTTCATGACTTCCCAGAGAAAACTGGTACCGAGAGCGTACTAGTCGGGCGTGTTTTCGATCACTGTGGGCTTCTTGCTAAATTTCTTCTAAATCTTTTAACTTTTACTCAACTATGGCCGGAACTGAGAAACTAAGGAAAGAAAACAAAGCGTTACGAAAAGAAATTTTAAGATCTAGAGAATCAACTGAAGCAAATCACTAACGTTCAATTAGTCATTATATCAAAAACCAAAAACCTTGCTTATTAGTTTCTACTTTTACAATTTATTTGTTTAATTCTGTGTTTCTCCAGTCTGTAATTTTATTTGGTTATTAATAAAGTTTTCAAAAGTAGGTTGAGTTTGATCGTCCGGGTGAACGTAGTCCTGAATAGGACTGTTGTTGACAGTAACTCACGTTTCGACAACCTGTACGGTAGTCATCGTCAGAATCAAAGTGAGTTGTATCACGTCAGTTGATGGTATTATACTCTGGTTATTGATCTGATTGGTCAATTATGTCGCGATGTTTCTGCTGTAGGTAAAAAGTTAAGTTTTCAGTCAATTTAAAAAAATGGGTCAATTAAAAGATTTGTGGTTAAAATTACTCCAGTCAAGAGCTCTTACGTCTCACTGTCACTCACGTCCTTAAATTTCTGATAGCGCTTGTTAAATTTTACGGAAGTTCAATACAGGTAATAAATCAATTGAAAATACTGCAGTACAGCTTCCGCATTATATTAAACCAATCAAGATTTGTGGTTAAAATTAGTCAAGTCAAGAGCTCTTAAAGTCTCACTGTCACTCACTTCCTTAAATTTCTGATAGCGCTTGTTAAATTTTATGCAAGTTCAATACAGGTAATAAATCAATTGAAAATTCTGCAGTACAGCTTCCGCACTATATTAAATCAATCAGTGGTTCAAGTTAAACTGGATCCGAAAAGAGTGACCCTATTTTAACCATGAATTATCTTGGCAACGTCATAGAGTTTACCGATCATTTATCGCTTATTGAGGCCATTAAAAAGTGGTTTATATTTCTGTAAGTAAGTAAGGCAGATACAGGGGGATCTGACGTAAGGAAACGCCTATTAAATTTATATATTTTTCTGGGATAAAACCGTCTGAGACAACATTTTATCACGCGAAGTCGAGAGTCGAGAACTCGCAAATCTAAAGGATGGCATTACTAAGAGTTGGTATGGTTCTCTGTTTATCTTACAAGAAAAATGACATATTGCGTACGTTGATTGTTTTGGGGGCATTTATTTCTGGCGTGAAGTGCATCGGTCAATCCTGTTCCAGCTCGAGCGATTGCGGATATTCGGAAAAGTGTTGCAGACAGACTTCAGTTGGGAGTTGTCACTTCGAAACAACACCTTGCCTCGGTGATTACTGCTCTTCCAACACTCAGTGTCCGAGTAACTCGGTATGCTGTGATCTCAGATGCGTTCCAGGCAACAGTTGCATCGGTCGCTCCTGCGTGCTGCAGTCGGAATGTGGTCTCGATGAATCATGCTGTAATGATGTGTGTGTTCAAGGGAAAGATTGTAGTGGTCAAGGCTGTACTGATAACTTTGACTGCTCTGGTGGTCAAGTTTGCTGTGGTCAGAAGTGTAAAAATGGCACGAATTGCATCGCTCAGTCCTGTTCGAAGAGTAACGATTGTCAAATTTCAGAAAGCTGTTGTAGTGGGACTTGTCAAGGTTCAGATTGCAATCTATACATCATCATAGGAGTTACCGCAGCATGTGTAGTTACTGTCATTGCTGTTATCGTAATCTTCGGCTATTTTTATAACCGGAGGCGGCAACAACGTTTAATGGCATTCTCCAACGTTCCTTTTGGGCACTTAGAAGAAAGCACCACACCTCACCTCCCGCAACCGGTCAATAATACCTTCCAACAGCCCCCACCAGAGTACACAGCAAGTGCAACACCGCCGCAGTACACATTAACATCAAGCAATGGATCCGGCGGAATGAATGCCACTCCAAAAGCCTCTGTTACTTCCCCACATCATCAATGAAGTTTGCCTGTCTTGTGATCACCCGATGGAATACGACTCAGTTTACGACGGTTCATTACAACGGCGTCCTAATTTACTTACTAGGGACTTAAGAACCGAGGACGGCGACGGCAACGGCGACGAAAACGTCGCTTAAAAAGTGAATTAGCATTTTTTCGATCTTCATTTCAATTATTCCATTTCACTTTCTGTGCCAAATGTAGGCGAAATCTACTGGAGTTGAATTCCTTAGGAACATATCTAAAGGCCATAAAGAGAAGGAAAATCTGGTCTTCGCTTGTTTTTGTCCTTTATAAAACCTGAAAATGGACATTTTCCCGTCGTGGTCGTGCGTTGACGGCAAAGAAACGTAGAAGAAAGAAAGTGTGCTGCACGTGCAACGCTGCTGTTGTTGTTGTTTTTTTCAGAACCCATTGATTTTCTGACGCGTTCTCGTCGCCATCGTTGTCGCCCGATTTCAGGCTGTGTCCACTTTACCGGATAGCTTCTTAGCCGGCATAAAACTTTACCAGACAGGGCTTATGAACACAGAAAGAACGGCACAATTTCTGTAACGGAGCAAAGCAGCGCCGGGCCGATCTTTAAAGTACAGTCACATAAAGGATAAGTGTTCATGCTATACTGGATAGCTTTTGGTGTCGGCACGAAAACTGAACTATCCAACATAGTATGAACATAGCCTTAAGGTCCCTGGTAGCTACATGGTAAGCGGTACGCAATAAGTAATAACTTCAAGAAATACATGTATTCCCTAAGTGAGAAATAAATTTCCAAAATGAACGCGCGTCTAGTTGTGATATCCTCGTTCCTTACAATAAAGGCCCTAGAGCAAACCAAGCATGCCATCGATGATATTTGCAAGCAGCTGAAATGATTCCGCCATAGCAATATCAGGAATTAGGCCTGTAGCTATATCAAAACCCGTTCTTTCAATACCGGGTAATGGTTGACATGGAAACGATGGCAATTTGCTGACTCATAGACTTCATGTTACTGTGAGAATCACTCAATGCGGGGAGGTTTAACGCTCTAACAATTTCATTTTGTTTTTGTCTCTTTCGAAGAATAATGGGATTTTTCGCATCAATTGAAAAAAAAAAAGAATAGAGGTTAAGTGTCTGAGATCAATCCCAACAACTATTCTGTAAAATACTAAATAAAAAGCCGGTAGTGAGGTCTGTTCTTTGTCTTGAAAAGTGGTTTACTTTTCTGGAAATATGGAAGGCGGATACAGGTCGCTCTGACGTCAGGAAAGCCTATAAAATTTATATTGTGGGATAAATGCGTCTGCAAAAACATTTGACCACGCGAAGTTGAGAGCCGAGAACTCGCAAATCTAAAGGATGGCATTACTAGGAGTTGGTATGGTGCTCTGTTTATCTTACAAGAAAATGTCATATTTTGTACTTAATAGATTATTTTGGGAACATTTATTTCTGGCGTGAAGTGCGTCGGTGAATCCTGTTCCAGCTCAAGCGATTGCGGATATTCCGGAGAAAGTGCTGCAGACAGACTTCAATCGGGATTTGTCACTTCAAAACAACACCTTGCCTCGGTGATTACTCAGGGGCACCCAACGTCAATTTGAGGAAAATAACTGTTCGGAAGACGATTTGAGATCTAGAATTTTCGGATCATTTTTTGTCAAATTTCTTGCTAGCCTGCCTCTCCCAGGATTTTCGAACATCTAAAAAATGGTATAATTGCCCATTTTTACCCTAAAAAGGTCACCTAGAATGTTCGGGAGCCTTTTTTCTGGCTGAAATTTTCTAAAAGGTAAGATTTTCGGATCACTAGACTTTCAGCTAGGAAATCCAAACAGATGAAAAATTTTTAGGGGATAAAAATATGTCTATATATACCGTTTAAATACTAAAATACGTTTACAATGCTATGATTAAGTAGTTTTGAACTATATTCTCGTTGGGTGCCCCTGATTACTGCTCTTTCAACACTCAGTGTCCGCGTAACTCGGTATGCTGTGGTAGCAGATGCGTTCCAGGCAAAAGTTGCATCGGTCGCTCCTGCGTGCTGCAGTCGGGATGTGGTTTCGATGAATCATTCTGTAATGATTTGTGTGTTTACGGGAAAGATTGTAGTGGTCAAGGCTGTACTTATGACTTTGACTGCTCTGGTGGTCAAGCGTGCTGTGATAAAAAGTGTCAAAATGGCACGAAATGCAATCTGAACATCATCATACCTGTTACCGCAGCATGTGCGTTTATTGTCATTGTTGTTATCGTAGTCTGCGGCTATTTTTGTCACCCGAGACGGCAACAACGTTTAATGGCATTCTCCAACGTTCCTTTCGGGCACTTAACAGAAAGCACCACATCTCACTTCCCACAACCTAGCCTGCGTAGCTGGCGGTATTGTGTAGTAGTCGAGTGAGATTAGGCGGCGGAGCCGTTGTAACATACTCGTACCGGTTAACAATCCCTTCCAACAGCCCCCACCAGGGTACACAGCAAGTGCAACACCACTGCAGTACACATTAACAACAAGCAATGGATCCGACGGAATGAATGCCACTCCAAAAGCCTCTGTTACTTCCCCACATCATCAATGAAGTTTGCCTGTCTTGTGATCACCCGATGGAATACGACTCAGTTTATGACGGTTTATTACGACGGCGTCCTAATTTACTTACTAGGGACTTAAGAACCGAGGACGGCGACGGCGACGGCAACGGCGACGAAAACGTCGCTTAAAAAGTGCATTAGCATTTTTTCGATCTTCATCTCAATTATTTCATTTCACTTTCTTTGTCAAATGTTGGCGAAATCTACTGGAGTTGAATTCCTAAGGAACATATCTAAAGGCCTTAAAGAGAAGAAAAATTTGGCGTCCACGCCGTAAAGAGAAGGAAAATTTGACCGTAGCTTAATCATGTCGTGGTGGTGCGGTGACGACAAAAAAAATGTACAAAAAAGTGTGCTGTACGTGCAAAGCTGTTGTCAGGTAGTGTTGTAGTCTGCATAGCAAGCGTTTCCACGCGAGTTTGTCGAGAAACTTAGGGCAAGAGCAAAAAACAGGGTTCATACTCTTTTGAACTCTTCAAATTCATGACTTTTAATGACTTTTTCCATGAACTTTCCAAGTTTTCGATGACCTTATGTTTAGCTGCCACGTTAAATATTTCTCAACACCACCAACAACGACGAACTTTATTTGCATGACCATAAAAGCACATACAGTATTGCAAAAGCTATGTTTAGGAATCAAAATTACAACACAGGGCAATTACGTTACTTTGATAATAATTTGTTACGAACATCAAAACAAGCTGAAATATGTTTTATGAATTGTATATTGATAAAATAATAAGAAGAGTTCATCAGTTCATTGATCAAACCGTTTATAGGTAACTGGGTAATATCTGGAATCAGAGTCTTGACTTTATCGTAAAATTTATTCCTAATCATAGAGTATGTAGGACACTGGAAAAGAAAGTGAACTTCGTCTTCTATTACATTGCATCTACAAAAAGGGCAATGCCTATCATCCTTCGTAGGTTGATTGTAGCTGCCTATTTCTATCATTAGTTTGTGATTTCTTATTCGTAGTTTTACTAAAGCCCTTCTCCCAGCTGTTCCTCTTGTTAAGTCTAAGTAACTAGAGAAGGTATGATCGGTTTTAAAAGATCTATAAAATTCAAGTTTTTGAGAATGTTGAAGGGTGTTTTGCCAATATGAGATATATTCCTGTTTCATTGAACTTACATAGCTTTTTACCATAGCTGTATCTAATAAATCAGGGTTAAAGTCAGAAAGCTTAAAGTATTCTGACATATTCATTAAATGAGAGTGGAAGCTATTTTTGCCATTATAGTGTAAGTCGAATGACAATAAAAATGCTTGTTTTGTGCTCTACAAGCTATATTACAGGCTTTGTTGTTTACCTCCGAGTATCGCTTACAAAATTGAAGGTGTGCCTTCTAGATTTGTGAGCCTTCCCTGGTCTTAAAATCTCGTTTGGGATACACACGCCAAATTTCACTGTTATATGTTAGAATAGGGGAGATCATAGTATCAAATATTTTATAGGCGAGAGCTGCTTTTAGTTTGCTAAGATTCGTGTGTCGTCTCAAGCTTAAGAGGGCATGAAGAGCTTTCTCCTTGCGATGTTCACGTGACACTGAAAAATTTCCCGATGAGGACATTCGAGTTCCTAAGTAAGTGTACTCTTGTACAACATCAATTATTTGACTATCTATGAGAAAGTGAAAATCAGCATTTTTTCTCGCACGTTTCTGAAAAACCATAATTCTTGTTTTCATGGGATTGATTTTCATCATCCATGAAGTACAGAATTGAATGAAGATAGTTTATCGAGGCAATTTTGTAGTCCTGTTTTGGATCGTGATAAAATGATTAAATCGTCTGCATATAATCGAAAATTTAGTTTTGCACCGTTTGGCAAAACAAAACGATCAGATAATGTATTTTCAGATGCGAAAGGTAGGTCGTTAATGTAAAGATTAAAAAGCAGTGGACTTAAGATACAGCCTTGCCGCACACCTCTCGCATAACGGAATGATCGCGTTTGTTTTGGGGCAATTTTAATCGAGCAGGAAGAGTTGTGATATAAGTTTTTAATTAAGTTATAAAAAGAACCACCTACATCAATTTGCAGCAGCTTATTCAAGAGCCCGTCATGCCAGACCGAGTCAAAAGCGTCTTTGAAATCTACAAAACAAGCATAGATCTTTTCGTTGTGATTATGAACGTACTTATCTATCAAGGTTCGGAGAGTGAAGACGTGGTCTGCTGTGTGGTTATCCGGTAAAAAGCCAATTTGAGATTTGTGGAGTATATTCAAAGAAACGATATACTTGAAAAGTCGTTGGCTTAAGATGGAACAAAATAGTTTTCCCAGGCAGCTGGAGACACAGATACGCCGGTAGTTTGCCTGATCGCTTCGTCCGCCCGATTTATAAATGGGAGTAACAAGACCACCACACCAAGTCTGTGGCATGGTCCCTTGGTTAAGAATTGAATTAAATAGTTTTTCATATACGGGCATCAGTGTATCAATACTAGCTTTTATCATTTCATTTCTAATTTTATCCGAAAATGGTGATTTATTATTCTTTAACTTTTTTGCAGCTTTACGTATTTCTCTTTCAGTTATCATGAAATCTAAAGGACGAGAGTGTTAACCATGGCATTCATTTTGTCGTAGCTCATTGCAAATGTTTTGCTGCGCTGGGTTAAGAGGTTCATTTGAATGAAGATTGTGGAAATATTGTAGCCAATTTTCTTCCGAGATTGATAGAACATCCTCTCCTTTTCTAGTGTCGTCTGTCGATTTGAGGCATTGCCAGAAAGTTTTCGCGTCTGAATTGTCTCCAGTTTTTTCTAGCTCAGAAATCTAGGCATTGTAATAATCATTCTGTTTAGAATTAAGTAATTTCTTGTATTGGGCCAGAGTATCATGGTATTGCTCACGTTTGACATAGTATTCAAAGGGTCTTGATGATTCTTGTCTGCTAGTTTTCGTAATTCATGCCTTTTCAAACGACTGTTTAATTCGTTATCAAAACTATTTCTCTGGGTTGGGCAAAGAGAGAATTCTGATTGGTCGTTTGTAATGAGGTTATTTCCCGCTTTACAAACACTGTCTGAATACTTTCCTGTTCTAGCGTTCAAGTCACCCATAAGGAGAATTGAGCCTTGGGAAGAAAATATTTCGATGTCATTTTCAAGTTCTTCAAATAATTCTACTTGAAATACGGTGAATTACATGGAGGTATATAAAGGCCACACGTATAGATATCTTTGACGGTTTTGGCATAGTCTTTGTCAATCTTGAACCATAGGAAATTGCAGGTCTTTTTGACAATTGAAATCCAGTCATGAAATGCATTTTTAAAGTAAGACTATTCCGCGGGAATCCCAACCGCCTTTTCGCGATTTAGTAGCATCCCGAGTCACAGATCTAAATCCCCTCACTTCAACAACATTCGAACGCGTCTCAAAATTTTCCTTGTTTTAGCGTATTTTTTTGCCCTAACTCAGCACAACAGACAAACTCTGGTGTCCACTAAAATGCGTACCATTTGCAATGTTTAATCACTCGTCTCTATCTTACATTGTCCTTGCTTTAATATCTGCAGTGACTAATCTCCCAAACATAGCCTTAATTTTCCATGCCTTTCTTAAATTTCGTGACTTCCCAGAGAAAACTGGTACCGAGAGCGTACTAGTCGGGCGTGTTCTCGATCACTCTGGGCTTCTTACTAAATTTCTTCTAAATCTTTTAACTTTTACTCAACTATGACCGGAACTGAGAAACTAAGAAAAGAAAACCAAGCGTTAGGAAAAGAAATTCAACATCTAAAGAATCAACTGAAGAAAATCACTGACGTTCAATTAGTCAAACATGTCAAAAAACAAAAATCTTGCTTATTAGTTTCTACTTTTACAATTTATTTGTTTAATTCTGTGTTTCTTTAGTGTGTAATTTTATTTGTTTATTAATAAAGTTTTGTTGTCGTTGTTGTTGGTTTTCCATGACCTGTAGGAACCCTGAAAAAAGGAATGACGGGGGAGGGGAGGGGAGAGAAGGTTTCCTTTTCTCCCTCCCCTTCGCCTTTCCATTTGCTTTTAGCTCCCGCTCTACCTTTCGCGCAATAACTCGATTGAAAACGCTTGCTACGCAGGCTAGTAGTGTTGTTGTTAGATAGGGCTTCTGTTCACACATGGAACGATGATTTCGGCGCGATTTCCGTAACGGTGCGAAGCAGCGCCGCGCCGATCTCTTAAGTGGAGACTGACATATCGGATAGGTATTTATAATTTCCCGGATAGCTTTTCGTGTCGGCACGAAAACCGAGCTATCCGGTAAAGTACGAAGATGTCCTTAAGGTCACTGGTATACGAACAGGCGCCCCCCCCGGGGGTACTTCCTTATAAGAGGCTAGTGGGGATGTGCCGCTGGATGGGGTCGCATTTTCACGACTGGATTGACTATAATGGGGTTGCATTTTCAAGAGAGTAAATAGAATAGGGTCGCACATTTTCCGATTTTTGGGGTAAGAAAGTTCTTTACATTAAAGGTTAGTAAAAGTAACTCAATCTTTCTACTGTACGTAAAAAGTAAAGTCTTCAGTCATTTTAAAAAAAAGTGGGTCAATTCTTTTTAGGATGAGCTATTTAAAAGATTGATAAGGTAGATGCATAAATAGAAAGTGACTAAGTGGGCATCGCGAAAATTACATTTGCCCAGAAGTGACTACAATGGGATCTACACGGGCTCTGAGAGGCTAGCGGCACATACACAGCAAAAATTAATCTAAGTACCCTCTCCCTGGGGGTACGCAATAAGAGAAACATGTAATGTCAAAAATACATTCTTTAAGTGAGAAATAAAAGTGATTTCCTCGTTCTTTGAAAAAAAGAAAAACAGGCGTGCCACGCTTGAGTTAATTCCGCATACCGCGTAGCCACTGTTTTTCAGTCACGTAGTCAATGTGGCAGGGTATTCTGCGGTTACTCTACAGCCAAGAAAGAAAGTTGTAAAAAAGCGAAACGAATTCAGTCAGCTGACCAGTGACTGTAAAATAGTCGTAGGCCTACATTTTACCCTCTGCGGAGAATTTTGTGAAACAAGCATTTTTTTGACCCCAGAGACTGAAGATGCAATATAGTGTAAATGTACATCACGGTCGACCCAAGGAGCCTCGCGAGAGAGTTATGACGTCACAAGTGGTGCAAAGATTTGTGGTTAAAATTAGTCAAGTCAAGACCTCTTACGTCTCACTATCACTCACTTCCTTAAATTTCTGATAGCGCTGGTTAAATTTTATGCAAGTTCAATAAAGGTAATAAATCAATTGAAAATTCTGCAGTACAGCTTTCGCATAATATTAAATCAATCAAAGGTTCAGGTTACACTGGATCCGAAAAGAGTGACCCTATTTTAACAATGAATTATCTTGGCAACGTCATAGGGTTTACCGATCATTTATCGCTTATTGAGGCCATTATTAAGTCTAGTAAGTGGTTTATATTTCTGTAAGTAAGTAAGGCGGATACAGGAGGCTCTGACGTCAGAAAAAGCCTATAAAATTTACATATTTTTCTGTGGTAAAAGCGTCTGAGGCAACATTTCATCACGCGAAGTCGAGAACCGAGAACTCGCAAATCTAAAGGATGGCAATACTAAGAGTTGGTATGATGCTCTGTTTATCTTACAAGAAAAATATCATATTGTGCACGTTGATTGTTTTGGGGGCATTTATTTCTGGCGTGAAGTGCATTGGTCAATCCTGTTCCGGCTCGAGCGATTGCAGATATTCGGAAAAGTGTTGCAGACAGACTTCAGTCGGGATTTGTCGCTTGGAAACAACAACTTGCCTCGGTGATTACTGCTCTTCCAACACTCAGTGTCCGAGTAACTCAGTATGCTGTCATTCCAGATGCGTTCAAGGCAACAATTGCATCGGTCGCTCCTGCGTGCTGCAGTCGGGATGTGGTTTCGATGAGTCATGCTGTAATGATGTGTGTGTTCAAGGGAAAGATTGTAGTGGTCAAGGCTGTACTGATAACTTTGACTGCTCTGGTGGTCAAGTTTGCTGTGGTAAGAAGTGTAAAAATGGCACGAAATGCAATCTGAACATCATCATAGCTGTTACCGCAGCATGTGCATTTATTGGCCTTGTTGCTATCGTAGTCTTGGGCTATATTTATCACCGGAGACGGCAACAACGTTTAATGGCTTTCTCCAACGTTCCTTTCGGGCCCTTGACAGAAAGCACCACATCTCACCTCCCGCAACCGGTCAACAATCCCTTCCAACAGCCCCCACCAGAGTACACAGCAAGTGTAACACCACCGCAGTACACATTAACATCAAGCAATGGATCCGGCGGAATGAATGCCACTCCAAAAGCCTCTGTTACTTCCCCAGATCATCAATGAAGTTCGCATGTCTTGTGACCACCCGATGGAAGACGACGTAGTTTATGACGGTGCATCACGAAGGCGTCTACGCCGTGAAGAGAAGTGGAAATAAACATTTTCACGTCGTGGTGGTGCGGTGACGATAAAGAAATGTACAAAAAAGTGTGCTGCACGTGCAAAGCTGTTGTTAGGTAGTGTGGTTAAGTTAGATAAGGCTTCTGTTTACACATACAACGGGGATTTCGGCGCGATACATATCGGATACGTATTCGTACTATTTCGGATAGCTTTTCGTGTCGGCACGAAAACTGAGCTATCCGTTAAAGTACGAAGATAGGGTCCCTGGTACACGGACAGGCGGCCCCGGGGGGAGGGGTGGGGGGGGGTACTTCCTTATAAGAGGCTAGTGGGAATGTGCCGCTGGATGGGGTCGCATTTTCACGACTGGATTGACTATAACGGGGCTGCATTTTCAAGAGAGTACATAGAATAGGGTCGCACATTTTCCGATTTTTGGGGTAAGAAAGTTCTTTACATTAACGGTTAGCAAAAGTAACTCAATCTTTCTACTGTACGTAAAAAGTAAAGCCGTCAGTCATTTTAAAAAAATGGGTCAATTCCTTTTAGGATGAGCTATTTAAAAGATTGATAAGGTAGATGCATAAATAGAAAGTGACTAAGTTGAGCCATGTCCAGCCCTGGCCATGAAATCCAGAGTTTCTTCACTTCTTACTTAGTCCCACACTTCTCAGAGGTGTGGAAGTGTGGAGTAGTCTGACAAAGTAATGACAACAGATTAGTGCCTGTGGGAAAAGTGTGACATTATCCTGACTTTGTCAGACTTTTCCACACTTCCAGACCTCTGAGAAGTGTGGAACTAAGTCAAGAATGACAAGGGGTTAGTGCCTGTGGGAAAAGTGTGACATTATCCTGAGTTTGTCAGACTTTTCCACACTTCCAAACCTCTGAGAAGTATGGAACTAAGGATGAAAAAGGAAAGTAGAGATCTTGTGGCCAGCACTGGACATTAATTTTGTGAATTCCCGAAGTGAACGCGCGTGTTATGCAAGTGAGTTCTCCGTTCTTTGAAAAAAGGCCTTAAGTAAAACAAGCATGCCACGTTTGAATTAATTTCGCATACCATGTAGCCATTTTTTTTTCAGTCACGTAGTCAATGTGGCAGGGTATTCTGCGTTTACTGCAGAACGAAACGAATTCAGTCAGCTGACTAGAGACTGTAAAATGGTCGTAGGCCTATATTTTACCCTTTGGTGCAAAAAATGCATTTTTTGGACCTTAGAGACTGATGCAATAAAATGTACATCAAAGTCGACCCAAGGAGCCTTGCGAGAGAGTTATGACGTCAAGAGTGGTGCAAAGATTTGTGGTTAGCATTAGCTTAGCTTTTGTCTCATTGTATGTTTCTTAAATTTCTTAAAGTGCTTGTTCAATTAAATATTAACACTTAATAATGCAAGTTCAATAAAGGTAATCAATCAATTCAAAATCCTGCAGGAAAGCTTCCTTATTATATTTAATCTCGTAACCAGATCTCCCACGGCCAAGGGAAAAAAGTGTAAAACAGAGTGAGATCTGGGTAAGAGATTATATTATATTAAATCAATCAGTGGTTCAAATTACTCTGGATCCAAAAAGAGTGACCCTATTTTAACAATGAAAGTTATTTTAGAATCTGCAGGGTAGGGTACTGACATACCGATCATTTATCACCTACTGAGGCTATTTGGAAAACTATCCTGTATCAGAGTCGCATTTTTCTTGCTAAGTCTACTGCAGAGGTGAAATACTGGCTTCTGATTGGACAACAACAGCAACAGCTCACATGTTTTTCTACACTTTCATCTGGCTTTCACGTTACCTTTTAACACAATCCTGGAGTACTTTCTACAAAAAAGAGAGTCAGAATGCTGCTACAACTACCCACATTTGAGCTAAACTTGTAACAGACTTCTTTAATTCTTTTTTGCAATTGTTAATTTTCGTTTTTCTATTGCCTACCCTTTGATTTTCCTAGAAAAAGCTGTCTGCATGTCAACTTTTTCTGGTCGCATACTTTGTATTCAATTACACGTGCCTTAGCCCTTGGTAATTTATTCTTTCGCACTGCATAAACAAGATCGTGGTCGCTGAGTCCCATATGCAAATTACCACAAGTTGCGTATCGTTCTGGATGGCTAGCGAGAATAACGTGAAGTAAACTCATTGTTTTTTCAGCCACCCTAGTCGGTTCACTTATTTGGTTTTGCAAACAAAACCTATCGCAAAAGTCCATGAGTGAGTTATTCTCTGGATCATCACCATGCTACCTAACGAGCTTGTCGATATTAAAATCACCAATAAATAATATTTCCTGACGGCTCTCGTACATAAGCTCTGTGGCTGATGTAAGCGACGACAAGAAATCAGTGATTTGACAGAATTTAGGTGATCTGTAGCACGCACACACTATAGAGCGAGCCTTTCTTGCTTCCATGTAATCTAAACATAATGATTCGACTGATTCAGGCTCCAGATTACGTCGTCGACAGACAGGAAGATCTTCACGTACAAAAGCTATCAAACCACCAGCTCCTTTCTTACGACCACGTCGAATAGTGCGATATCACGGTTGTTGGAGAAAACTATCTGAGGTTGTGCCATCGAGTTTTGTCTCGGAAATAAAAGGAATGTCAAATAGGCTCTTGTTAAGCATATTTTTCACCTCGTCAAGCTTATGTTGTAAAGAGTTGACGTTGAAGTAAGCTATTTTCAGATTGGACTTGTAGTAGCCATTGACGTTCCTAGAAAACCAGTCAACAGAGTCCACTGAATGTTCCTCTACAATCTCAAAATCCTCGCCATTGGAGCTTAAATCGTAGGCCGTTGAAGGGGACAGATCGTCAAAGAAGCTATCAGAAAACTGAGGCATACCAGTAAAGCAAATCCAGGTCCCTTCTCTCCGGCAGTAGGACAGCTCATTTTTGCTCATTTTCGTACATTTGTTATGGAATACTGCCAAACAGGACGAGCAGCGGACGCCATTTTGATTCCGTCTCATGGCTTTAGCATAATAAGCACATAGTGTTTTAGAAGAGTTATTATGACTTCCTTGAGGGCTGGGATTAGACTCCACATTTCCAGATAGTGTCAACAGTAAGAGCTGAGTCGTAGCAGTGCTATTACTATAGTACAAAGCTCGCCGTCCGAAGTGTGCCTTCTTTCTACTTCGTATGTACTGTTGACGATGCAAATATGAGTTCGAAACATCAAAGAATTGATGCTAGTTAGAGTCATTAGAAGAGGTATGATCGGTTCTAAAAGATCTATAAAATTCAAGTTTTTGAGAATGTTGAAGGGTGTTTTGCCAAGATGAGATATATTCCTGTTTCATTGAACTTACATAGCTTTTTACCATAGGTATATCTAAAAAATCATTTTTAAAGTCAGTAAGCTTGAAGTATTTTGACATATTCATTAAATGAGAGTGGAAGCTATTTTTGCCATTATAGTGTAAGTCGAATGGCATTAAAAAAGCCTGTTTGACGAGAGATCTCTCATCTTTAGACTGTATATACAAAATGTATTTGAGAATTTTTTGATTGATAGAGATATTTAAAGGAACACGACCAAGCTCTGCTCTACAAGCCATATTAGAAGCTTTGTTGTATAGCTTCAAGTTTCGTTTACAAAATTGAAGGTGTGCCTTCTCGATTTGTGAGCCTTCCCAGGTCTTAAAATCTGGTTTGGCATACACACTCCAAATTTCACTGTTATATGTTAGAATAGGAGAGATCATAGTATCAAATCTTTTACAGGCGAGAGCTGCTTTTAGTTTGCTAAGATTCGTGTGTCCTCTCAAGCTGAAGAGTGCATGAAGAGCTTTCTCCTTGAGATGTTCACGTGACTGAAAAATTTCCCGATGAGGACATTCGAGTTCCTAAGTAAGTGTACTCTTGTACAACATCAATAATTTGACTATCTATGAGAAAGTGAAAATCAGCATTTTTTCTCGCACGTTTCTGAAAAACCATAATTCTTGTTTTCTTGGCGATTGATTTTCATCATTCATGAAGTACAGAATGAAAATAGTTTATCGAGGCAATTTTGTAGTCCTGTTTTGGATCGTGATAAAATGATTAAATCGTCTGCATATAATAGAGAATTTAGTTTTGCACCGTTTGGCAAAACAAAAGGATCAGATAATGTATTTTCAGATGCGAAAGGTAGGTCGTTAATGTAAAGATTAAAAAGCAGTGGACTTAAGATACAGCCTTGCCGCACAATTCTCGCATAACGCAATGATCGCGTCTGTTTTGGGGCAATTTTAATCGAGCAGGAAGAGTTGTGATACAAGTTTTTAATTTAGTTATAAAAAGAACCACCTGCATCAATTTGCAGCACCTTATTCAAGAGCCCGTCATGCCAGACCGAGTCAAAAGCGCCTTTGAAATCTACAAAACAAGCATAGATCTTTCCGTTGTGATTATGAACGTACTCGGAGAGTGAAGACGTGGTCTGCTGTGCGGTTATTCGGTAAAAAGCCAATTTGAGATTTGTGGAGTATATTCAAAGAAAACGATATACTCGAAAAGTCGTTGGTTTAAGATGGAACAAAATAGTTTTCCCAGGCAGCTGGAGACACAGATACCCAGGTAGTTTGCCTGATCGCTTCGTCCGCCCGATTTATAAATGGGAATAATAACACCACCACACCAAGTCTGTGGCATTTCATTTCCTTTCTACTTTTATCGGAAAATGGTGATTTATTATTCTTTAACTTTTTTGCAGCTTTACGTATTTCTCTTTCAGTTATCATGAAATCTAAAGTACAAGAGTGTTGACCATGGCATTGATTTTGTCGTAAATCATTGCAAATGTTTTGCTGTGCTGGGTTAAGAGGTTCCATTGAATGAAGATTGTGGAAATATTGCAGCCAGTTTTTCTTCCGAGATTGATGGAAAATCCTCTCCTTTTCTAGTGTCGTCCGTCGATTTGAGGAATTGCCAGAAAGTTTTCGCCCCTGAATTGTATGCAGTTTTTTCTAGCTCAGAAATCTTGGCATTGTAATAATCATTCTTTTTAGAATTAAGTAATTTCTTGTTTTGGGCCAGAGTATCATGGTATTGCTCACGTATGGTATAGTATTCAAAGGGTCTTGATGTTTCTTGTTTGCTAGTTTTCGTAATTCATGCCTTTTCAAACGACATTCTTTATCGAACCGTTTTTTGTTTGATAATTATTTGATACGCTTTCACGTTTTACCTGCTCTTATCTTTAAACAACACTTAGCCGTTGTGATTAAAATGTTTTCCACCTTTTCGAGGGATAGCTCAGTATTTTCATTGAATGTGTCGCCGGCAATATAATCGCGTATTAGTGTTTGTATACCGGGACACCTCAGAGCATCCTTGAATTTTTGAGCGGAGTCGTTTTCCCACAGAAATTGTTTCGGTAAACGCGTTGAAGTATCTCCTTCAAGTACGGTGGGATTGAAACTCGTCTTTTTGTTAATATTCAGCCAAGTAGTAATAGGGCTATGGTCTAACAACTGCAGTGGACCTTTGACTACAAAATTTGCAACGTGTGATAAAAGACCCTGGTCTCACACTACGTAGTCAACTACACTCACTCCGTTTTTTCCATGAAACGTTACTCTTCTTAGGGTATCACCACTGACTCTTCCCTGTAGAATCCTAGGGTCTGCACTTTTACAATTTCAACGAGCCTTTTACCGTGACTGTTTAATTCGTTAACAAAACTATTTCTCTGGGTTGGACAGAGAGAGAATTCTGATTGGTCGTTTGTAATGAGGTTATTTCCCTCTTAACAAACACTGTCGGAATACTTTCCTGTTCTAGCGTTCAAGTCACCCATAAACTCCTTTCTTCAAATAATTCTACATTGAAATACAGTGAATTACATGGAGGTATATAAAGGCCACGCGTATAGATATCTTTGACGGTTTTGGCATAGTCTTTGTCAATCTTGAACCATAAGAAATTGCAGGTCTTTTTGATAATTGAAATCCACTCATAAAATGCATTTTTAAAGTAAGACTATTCCGCCGGAATCCCGACAGCCTTTTCGCGATTGAGTAGCATCCAGAGTCACAGATCTAAATCCCCTCCCTTCAACAACATTCGAACGCGTCCCTCAAAATTTTCCTTGTTTTAGGGTATTTTTTTCCCCAACTCAGCACAACAGACAAACTCTGGTGTCCACTAAAATGCGTACCATTTGCAATGTTTAATCACTCGTCTCAATTTTACACTGTCCTTGCTTTAATATCTGCAGTGACTAGTCTCCCAAACATAGCCTTAATTTTCCATGACTTTCCAGGCCTGGAAAATGAAATTCTTAAATTTCATGACTTCCCAGAGAAAACTGGTACCGAGAGCGTACTAGTCGGGCGTGTTCTCGATCACTCTGGGCTTCTTACTAAATTTCTTCTAAATCTTTTAACTTTTACTCAACTATGACCGGAACTGAGAAACTAAGGAAAGAAAACCAAGCGTTACGAAAAGAAATTCAAGATCTAAAGAATCAACTGAAGAAAATCACTAACGTTCAATTAGTCAAACACGTCAAAAAACAACAATCTTGCTTATTAGTTTCTCCTTTTACAATTTATTTGTTTAATTCTGTGTTTCTTTAGTCTGTAATTTTATTTGTTTATTAATAAAGTTTTGTTGTTGTTGTTGTTGTTGGTTTTCCATGACCTGTACGAACCCTGAAAAAAGAAATGACGGGGGAGGGGAGGGGAGAGAAGGTTTCCTTTTCTCCCTCCCCTTCGTCTTTCCATTTGCTTTTAGCTCCCGCTCTACCTTTCGCGCAATAACTCGATTGAAAACGCTTGCTACGCAGGGTAGTAGGGCTAGTAGTGTTGTTGTTAGATACGGCTTCTGTTCACACATAGAACGATGATTTCAGCGCGATTTCCGAAACGGTGCGAAGCAGCGCCGCACCGCGCCGATCTCTTAAGTGGAGACTGACATATCGGATAGGTATTTATAATTTTCCGGATAGCTTTTCGTGTCGGCACGAAAACCGAGCTATCCGGTAAAGAAGGAAGATAGCCTTAAGGTCCCTTGTATAGGGACAGGCGGCCCCAGAGGGGGGGGGGGGTACTTCCTTATAAGAGGCTAGTGGGGTGAGTGTTTACTAAGTTGGGATCGCGAAAATTACATTTGCCCAGAAGTGACTAAAATGGGATCTACAGGGGCTCTGAGAGGCTAGCGGCACATACACAGCAAAAATTAACCCAATTACCCTCCCCCTGGGGGGTACGCAGTAAGAGATACATGTAATGTAAAAAATATGAAAACCGGGTTAGCAAACATTTTGTAATTTTTCTCAACTTCCCCTGTCTAATAGCTTGTTTACTGTGTTGTTTGCTTATGTCGTATTTTTTTGGCCTGTCTTGTGGTTATGGATTTGTGTAGAAGTGGATGTAGACAGAATTACTATCTTACTCCCCCGCCCCCCTCCCTATTTTTTTCCCTACCCACAATTCTTTCTTTAATACAAGTGACAGTTATCAGTTTGAAATCAGCGGGCGCCTAAAGCTGGTCTCGATGCCGTTTAGCAGTTTAGTTTTAAATATTGGTCACTTTGAGAAAAGTTTCCCGGAGAGCATCATGTAAGGTTCTGAGATGGGACAAAGTTATTACGATTCGCAGAGTCTGCATCGTCCTATATCGTATTATATTCTCGTTTCATTTGGCTAAACGGATCAATCACCCTGATCCGGGCTGAGACAGAAAGATACGATATTGTTCGCTTTTCTAAGGTGACCACTAAGTCTTTGGCCTCGGCAAAAAGGCCCCGGTTGCATAAAACCTACACTTAAGTGCTCACTTAAGTGGGTCACTTACGAATCCGTTATGGGTACACTTACGTGTGTTGCATGGAACGCACTTAGCACTCTCGTACGTTTCTGTTTTACGTGGTAACTGTTCACACATACAACGGGGATTTCGGCGCGATACATATCGGATACGTATTCATACTATTTCGGATAGCTTTTCGTATTGGCACGAAAACTGAGCTATTCGTTAAAGTACGAAGATAGGGTCCCTGGTACACGGACAGGCGGCCCCGGGGGGCGGGCGGGGGTACTTTCTTATAAGAGGCTAGTGGGGATGTGCCGCTGAATGGGGTCGTATTTTCACGACTGGATTGACTATAATGAAGTTGCATTTTGAAGTAAGTAAATAGAATAGGGTCACACATTTTCGGATTTTTGGGTAGGAAAGTTCTTTGTATTTAAGGTTAGCAAAAGTACCTCAATGTTTCTACTGTACGTAAAAAGTAAAGTCTTCAGTCAATTTAAAAAAATGGGTCAATTCATTTTAGGATGAGCTATTTAAAAGATTGATAAGGTAGATGCATAAATAGAAAGTGACTAAGTTGGGATCGCGAAAATTACATTTGCCCAGAAGTGACTAAAATGGGATCTACAGGGGCTCTGAGAGGCCAGCGGCACATACCAAGCAAAAATTAACCCAATTACCCTCCCCCTCAGTCTGGGGGTACGCAATAAGAGATACATGTAATGTCAAAAATACATTCTTTAAGTGAGAAATAAAAGTTATTTCCTTGTTCTTTGAAAAAAAGAAAAACAGGCGTGCACGCTTGAGTTAATTCCGCATACTGCGTAGTCACTGTTTTTCAGTCACGTAGTCAATGTGGCAGGGTATTCTGCGTTTACTCCAGAGCCAAGAAAGAAAGTTGTAAAAAAGAGAAACGAATTCAGTCAGCTGACCAGTGACTGTAAAATGGTCGTAGGCCTACATTTTACCCTCTGCGGAGAATTTTGCGAAATATGCCTTCTTTTTACCCCATAGACTGATGCAATAAAGTGTACATCAAAGTCGACCCAAGGAACCCCCGAGAGAGTTATGACGTCACAAGTGGTGCAAAGATTTGTGGTTAAAATTAGTAAAGTCAAGACCTCTTACGTCTCACTGTCACTCACTTCCTTAAATTTCTGATAGCGCTTGTTAAATTTTATGCAAGTTCAGTAAAAGTAATAAATCAATTGAAAATTCTGCAGTACAGCTTCCGCATTATATTAAATCAATCAGTGGTTCAAGTTACACTGGATCCGAAAAGAGTGACCCTATTTTGACAATGAATTATCTTGGCAACGTCATAGGGTTTACCGATCTTTTATCGCTTATTGAGGCCATTAAAAAGTGGTTTATATTTCTGTAAGTAAGTAAGGCGGATACAGGGGAATCTGACGTAAGGAAACGCCTATAAAATTTACATATTTTTCTGGGATAAAACCGTCTGAGACAACATTTCATCAGGCGAAGTTGAGAGCCGAGAACTCGCAAATCTAAAGGATGGCATTACTAAGAGTTGGTATGGTGATCTGTTTATCTTACAACAAAAGTGTCATATTGTGTACGTTGATTGTTTTGGGGGCATTTATTTCTGGCGTGAAGTGCATCGGTCAATCCTGTTCCAGCTCAAGCGATTGCGGATATTCGGAAAAGTGTTGCAGACAGACTTCAGTCGGGATTTGTCACTCCAAAACAACACCTTGCCTCGGTGATTACTGCTCTTCCAACACTCAGTGTCCGAGTAACTCGGTATGCTGTAATTCCAGATGCGTTCCAGGCAACAATTGCGTCGGTCGCTCCTGCGTGCGGCAGTCGGGATGTGGTTTCGATGAATCATGCTGTAATGATGTGTGTGTTCAAGCGAAAGATTGTAGTGGTCAAGGCTGTACTTATGATTTTGACTGCTCTGGTGGTCAAGTTTGCTGTGGTAAGAAGTGTAAGAATGGCACGAAATGCAGTCTGAACATCATCATACCTGTTACCGCAGCATGTGCATTTATTGTCATTGTTGCTATCGTAGTCTTCGGCTATTTTTATCACCGGAGGCGGCAACAACGTTTAATGGCATTCTCCAACGTTACTTTCGGGCACTTAACACAAATCACCACATCTCACCTCCCGCAACCGGCCATCAATACCTTCCAACAGCCCCCACCATTGTATACAGCAAGTGTAACACCACCGCAGTACACATTAACATCAAGCAATGGATCCGACGGAATGAATGCCACTCCAAAAGCCTCTGTTACTTCCCCACATCATCAATGAAGTTTGCTTCTCTTGTGATCACCCGATGGAAGACGACTCAGTTTATGACGGTGCATTACGACGGCGTCTACGCCGTAAAGAGAAGAAATGTACAAAAAAGTGTGCTGCACTTGCAAAGCTGTTATTAGGTAGTGTGGTTAAGTTAGATAGGGCTTCTGTACACATACAACGGTGATTTTGGCGCGATACATATCGGATACGTATTCGTACTATTTCGGATAGCTTTTCGTGTCGGCACGAAAACTGAGCTATCCGTTAAAGTAGGAACATAGCCTTGATGTCCCTGACAGCGTGCGTAGCAGGCGCTTGGAAGTGTGGGCGCAAGAGAGAACGGGCGCGCGAGAGGGAGACACGCAAGAGGAGACTGAGGGAGGGGGAGTTCCCTCTCCCCTCGCGTGTCTCCCTCTCGCGCGCCCGTTCTTTCTCGCGCCCACTACTTCTAAGCGCCTGCTAGGCAGGCTAGGTCCCTGATACAGGGACAGGCGTTGGAATCTAATCAGCCAAAATACTTAGAACCAAAAATGAGAAGTCCAAAGACTACTGCAAAGCTGATTAGAACAACGTATATTGAATTTTCAAAAAATAACCCAAGGAAGGGGGGTAGGCAGTAAGAAATACGCAGGGAAGGGGGCAGGCAGTAGGAAATGCGTGTAAGGTCAAAAATTACATTGCCTGAGTGACAGATAAATTCCCGAAGTGAACGCGCGTGTTACGCAAGTGAGTTCTCCGTTCTTTGAAAAAAGGCCTTAAGTAAAACAAGCAAGCATGCCACGTTTGAATTAATTTCGCATACCGCGTAGCCATTTTTTTTTCAGTCACGTAGTCAATGTGGCAGGGTATTCTGCGTTTACTGCAGAGCGAAACGAATTCAGTCAGCCGACTAGAGACTGTAAAATGGTTGTAGGCCTATATTTTACCCTTTGGTGCAAAAAATGCATTTTTTTGACCTTAGAGACTGATGCAATAAAATGTACATCAAAGTCGACCCAAAGAGCCTTGCGAGAGAGTTATGACGTCAAGAGTGGTGCAAAGATTTGTGGTTAGCATTAGCTTAGCTTTTGTCTCACTGTATGTTTCTTAAATTTCTTAAAGTGCTTGTTCAATTAAATATTAACCCTTAATAATGCAAGTTCAATAAAGGTAATCAATCAATTCAAAATCCTGCAGGAAAGCTTCCATATTATATTTAATCTCGTACCCAGATCTCCCATGGCCAAGGGAAAAAAGTGTAAAACAGAGTGAGATCTGGGTACGAGATTATATTATACTAAATCAATCAGTGGTTCAAATTACTCTGGATCCAAAAAGAGTGACCCTATTTTTTAAACAATGAAAATTATCTTAGCAACTGCAGGGTAGGGTACCGGCATACCGATCATTTATCACCTACTGAGGCTATTTGGAAAACTATCCTGTATCAGAGTTGCATTTTTCTTGCTAAGTAGCAAGAAAATAAAAATACTGGCTTCTGATTGGACAACAGCAGCAACAGCTCACATGTTTTTCTAGACTTTCATCTGGCTTTCACGTTACCTTTTAACACAATCCTGTAGTACTTTCTACAAAAAAGAGAGTCAGAATGCTGCTACAACTACCCATATTTGAGCTTAACTTGTAACAGACTTCTTTAATTCTTTTTTGCAATTGTTAATTTTCATTTTTCTATTACGTACCCTTTGAGTTTCCTAGAAAAAGCTGTCTGCGTGTCAACTATTTCTGGAAACAATTATTTGAAGGACAAAATAGAAAAAGAACTATTCAGAAACAAGGTGTTCACAAGGAACAAACTGGGGCAAGGACAGGGAAATTAGAGGGGAGGTTAAGACAGTATCAAACCCAAAACTATCTCCAAATTTTTGCTTTTATCTGCAAATACCCAAGCTTCGAAAGCTGATATTTCATTGCACCTGGGACAAATAGGCCTTGAAAAGCCCGACTTATAAGTGGTATTATTTTGACTCATTATAGCCAGACAACGACCAGAAAACAGCTTGACTACCCTCAAAAGGTGATTTTTGACAAAATTCCCTGGAGCAAATGGGTTTATGAACAACCTGTTTTACGCTGCATACAACAAAGTTAAAATGTGTACCTGTAAGTAGATGAGAAAATTGATGCAAATTGTTGAGTTTCAGTCCTTCAAACAGTTCTTTAAGTTCCTTTGAATCCAACACTTGGCCTTTTATATGCTCATAGCCTACCAAACAGAAACATGCACCTAAGTAAGTGTTTATCAGACTGTGTAATGGTGTGAAAAAAATTTGGAGGAAACTAAGACATCTTTTGAGGAGATGGGACACAAATGAAGCACACATCTAAGGTTTATCATAGGGCAAATTATAGGATTATGGGAAAATGTGGATATTTCGTATGGTCACTAGATTAACATCAAAACTTGAGGAAGATTTCGGAGGCTCAACACAGTATTTTGAAACTTAAATAGCCTTACCGCAGCAGGATAAGCCAAGTAGGTTGAGCGTTTGCTGCAAGGGGGGGGGGGGGGGGGGGGGGGGTTGTAGGTTTGATTCCCAGAACTGGACTAATAATTATCAGGGTCTTAAAAATAACTGAGAAATGAAGGTACTCTCCTTGCACTGCAAGCAGCTAGACCTTTGCATGGCTAGGATGACCACATAAAATGGCATTCCTGTCTCCAGTTGTAGCCGTAAAGATAGTGTCTCCAATTAGTACTAATTAAAATCACATTGATTCTCAAATAAAGTGCATTTTTTCAAATTAGCAGTTAAATTCGTTATCTAGTGCAGATTATGCAGCAGTTTATTACAGGATTTCTTATGGATTATGCAATCAGATATGATTTACATTAATAATAGAATATTGTACCAAATTGCACCATCTCACATTATCAGGTGCCCTGGTTTAAAAAAACAATGATATTGTTAAAGTGGCCATCACCTAAAATTTTTTATTTTCTTATCTGAAACTATACCTTATTAAAATAACTTCTGCGAAAAAATTTTGCGGTTTGAACAAAGCGTGATTTTTTTACCAATTTTTAAAATCTACATTTTTGTGGTACACCCCCGACGCTGGTCACGCAAACCAGCAGGTTCACAAATGACGTTATGTGACGTAAATTAAGGAACTCACATTACCTTGCCTTCACCAGCTGTACACAAAGAAGATCAATTACAAGTAAGGATTGACTCACAACGTCTTCGCAAGAAGAAAGTTTTTCTGAAACAGAAAAACCTACCAGAACTCTTAATGTTTTCCTGTTGATAAAGTCACGTGTTTCTTAAAGTATGTCATATAACGTCATACTCTGAGAGAAGACTAAGACGAATGGTGTGCCAAAATGGAGGCAAATTTGAAAGTTTTTAAAAAATTCTAAAAAAATCGTCTTTCGTTCAAATTGCAAAATTTTTTAGCAGAAGTTATTTTAATAAGGTGTATTTTCAGATAAGAAAATATAAAATTTTAGGTTATGGGCACTTTAAGTAGGAGGGATCATAAAAATATTGAAATATGCATTAAAAATAACAACACGTGAAAAACTACTTTACTTTCTATTGTTCAACAACAAAAGCAATTATATTAATAATAGACAATGAAACAAACCAGTGTGATTGGAAAGTTGTACTGAATTGATTGTGTCAACCTCAAATCCAAGAACCTAAAATGAAAAAGGAAGGAGTAACATGATGATAGGATTACCTCAAGTACCTATAGTCCTTTTAGGGTAGATTTCCACTGTCAAGTAATTTCAATGTCTGTACACGTGTAAAATTGATGTCCATAAATAAATTAGAGGCAATGTAGAAAAGGCAAAAGTTGAACTTCGCTCAACTTTTACTCATACTTTTTCATGACACTTCATACATTTCCTTTACACTATTTACACGTATAAAATTTGAGCGTAAAAATTATGCTGCAGTGGAAATCCACTCTTAGTCTGATTTTCACTAGTAACAAGACCAGAATATTGGAGTCTGCATGCATTCGAAAGAGTGACAATAAGAAATTATTGGATTTGTAAAGTGGAGTCATGAGTGCAGTTATAAAAATCAGAACATTTTAGGTTTCTTCCTGCTCTGCGCATCATCTTGTCACTTACATCGCTCATTCTCACACGCAGTTATTGCCTTTCAGAAATTAAAGTCACATGACCCTATGGATGGTCAGGATGGTCAAGCCAGCTATTCAAAATTTCAAATGCTCAAGACTGTTTTTTTTTTCTTTGTTTTTAAGGGTCCTAACAGTTAGTTACACTGGATTTCAGTAGTACTTAGTATTAACCTTGAAAGGCATTTTTCATCTCCAACTTCCCCTGCCCCCTTCCCACTTGTTGGTGTCTCACAGGGACTGTGATACCTAATGCAAGATCTTTGATCAGCTGTATTCCTCTATCAATCCAGTACAGTAACTGCATCCGTAATCTAAAAACCAGAAATGTGGCCCTATTCCAGATGGCCTCTCACGCTAAACTTGTTGGGGCTTCATCATCTGTTTCTGCCCCATGAACATGTGCTGAAACAAGCAGTTAAATTCCTTTTCGCTTTGTTTGCAATTATCAGCTGGAGATCACTAGCAAATTACCAGAGAACAAATCAGCACTAAGTCATGGTTTAATAAAAAGGCCAATAATCATAAACGACAGTATCCCACCTGAGATCTTCAAAGCTCCAGGCCCCAATGCACTGGAGGCTTTCCATGATGTTCTGCAAAGTGTATGGAGCAAAGAGGCCATGCGAAGACTTTTGCAATGCTCTCATTACTACTCTCTACAACAACAAGGGGAGCAAGTCCAACTGTGGAAACTACAGAGGCATCTCACTTCTTTCCATAGCAGGAACGATCTTTACTCGCATTCTCCCGAACCAACTGATCATGGAAACTGCAAGAGGTCTCCCAGAGGCGCAGTGTGGCTTCAGACCAGGGTGCAGCACCCTGGACATGATTTTGTCATCAGACAGGTGCAGGAGAAGTGCATTGAACAGAGCAAGGCCCTCTTCTCTGTCTTTATAAATCTGACAAAGGTGTTTAATACAGTCAACAGGGAGGCCCTCTGGATGGTCCTGGAGAGATATGGCTGCCCAAAGAAGTTTGTGAGGTTGATCCAGCTTCCTCATGGTGGAATGACAGGGCAATTAAGTTCTCTGCATCAGTGACCAGTCAGCTGTCTTCACCATCACAAATGGAATAAAACAGGGCTGCATCCTAGCCCCAGTCCTGTTTAATCTCTTCTTCACACGCATGCTGGCACATGCTGTACAGGACATGTATGAATATGATACTTGGACACTGTACCACAGGCATATTAACTAGCTGGAGAACTTTCGTATGAGTGCCCTTCGTTCCATAGTTGGCATCCACTGGCAGGACCATATCACAAACCTCGAGGTCCTGGACCGTGCAGAGTTTACCAGGACTGAGGCCATACTCATCAAGGTCCAGCTACCAGGGGTGGGAAATGTCATCAGGATGGACGATCATTGCATGCCCTGTCAACTGTTGTATGGAGAGCTTGAGGCTGGCAAGAAAAAGCAAGGCCGCCCTCGCAAGCAGTACAAGGACACTGTGAAGGAAAACCTTCAGTGGTGTGGGCAACCAGCCGAAAGAACTTGAGGCTGTAGCCAGTGACAGAAGTCACAGGCGCTTACTGACCCACACAGCCCCCAACAATTTCAAGGATGACCACCGTCAAAGACTTATTGCAACCTATGAACGACATCACAGAGCATCCTCTGCTGACATCACAATAATGGAGTTCCAGTGCCCCACCTGTTCCAGACTCTGCCCTCCCAGACTGAGTTTGCAGAGCCACCAGAGAATCCATAGATGATCATACAACACGCAGTCTTCTTTGGACATGAAGGACAACCACCTGAATCATTATCAGTAGGAAATAAAGCGTTGACAGGCCAAACGAGACTCACAAGTGAAGCGTATCTGTGACCTTAGAGTTTTGCTCTAAACAAGGAGATCTTCCAGACACTTTCTGTTCTTATCCCGTTTTTGTCCCAGTTACATCAAGATTGCTCCAAATTTGCTTGAAAATCTGGAAATCTTACTAATGTACAATCGGGATAGGAAAAATCCCAATTTTTGGCGCTCAAGTTATTTCTCCATGGTTTAACAATCTATGGATTTTTCACACTCAAAAGGTTGGACAGTCTAAAATACACTTCTGAGATCTGAAAGTGTGCTGTGATTGGTCTAATTTTTTTAACTGCTTGTTTCACGAGACGTTCCTGGGGCATTATGCATGACGAAGCCGTTACTAAAACATCTGCGTGAGAGGCTATATCTAAGAACACCTATGTGAGACATCACTGTTTACAATTAATGTTGTTTTTGTTGCTCAGGTTTGAAACGAGAGGTCAGGTCAGCGTGTACAGTATGAGTATCGCTAGCGATACTCACACTGAAGTCACCTATTGATGTTAATGTGCCAACCAGAAGCACATTGAATCTGGAAAAAAAAAAACAATTCCTTTGTTTCACGTGTTACAAATTTGAATAACAAAAACAGTAAATACAAATTTCCAGCACTAAATTCCTTTGTTTCACGTGTTACAAATTTGAATAACAAAAACAGTAAATACAAATTTCCAGCACTAAATTCCTTTGTTTCACGTGTTACAAATTTGAATAGCAAAAACAGTAAATACAAATTTCCAGCACTAAATTCTTCAGCCACTGATTAATCACCATGTAAAACACTGACCAGCGGATTCTCATTCCCTGCCCTGCTGTCCTAAACAAAACAGCTCGCATTCTAAATACTTCGGGAAAAACACATTCCCACACAATATGACAACTGCATTGATCATTGATGTTGTCATAAGTAATAATATCCGTTGAATGTTCATCAAATCGAACGAACGTATGTCGATCATCACAATAACATGCGATCGGGTATAAGTCAGAGCTAGACAATAGGAGAGAATAAAGTCTTGAATAAGACCAAGGAATCCTTGACTTCTAGTATGAAAACACTTTTCAAAAGGTAACTCTGTCATGCAGCTGAACACGGTCTAATTAGTGTACAGTGGTACCACTGCAGCGGGAAAAACCGGTGTCGGTGTCACGTTCCACTGGTACGGGAATTGTAAAAAATAGCTTACCTGAAGAGGAAATGTCGCTGAATCATTCCCTACATAACCTGATACAACATGGCTTTGAATAGAAAGGACTCTGCACGTCTCAGTGGATTCCATTTGTTACATAAACCGTACTTTTGCTAACGTTACTGACTGGTATACTATAGCTAGTACTGCCACGGACACACTTGGGTTATTCTTTCAATAACCCACACTTGGTAACTTGGTAGCCTCGCAAAGGCGGTCAGTTTCAAACACGGACTGCGGACTACGGACCACGGACTGCGGACTTGGTATAAAGCCCGGACTACGGACTGTGTATATAAAAACAGCTTTGACTGAGAGAAAAGGATAGTGGACTAGCATAAAACAGTAGTCCCAGCTTCTTGCCTCATTGCCAACGAGCCATCCGAGCGAAGACGCTCGGATGGCGAGGCGGCAGCAGAATAGAGCCGCGCAAGACTGGGCAATAGGCAGAAAAATTCTCGATCGAGCTGAAAAAAGTGTAACATATAGATTCCCCTGAGACCAAGTGGTCAATTGTGAACCAATCAAAAGGCAGTACCTGGCGCACGGGCTCAAGTTGAATAACAAACAACATTTCACACACTTCCCGCCGTCGCGACTTCCTGTGTTTATTTACCTAAAATTTTTCGTTAAACCCGGCCACCGCAGTCAAGAGACATGAGCACTTGATATATTCTATTAATTTTAGGGGCCATAATGTTAAATTTTAACGAAGAGAAGTTTGTAAAACAGCAAAAGTGTTCTATGTGCAGCAAGCAATATTCTCACCACTAAAAAGGATCAGATTAATCGAGGAGATAAGGAAAGCTTGACACGAAGAATGCAGTCGCTTGTGTTGGAAAATCTGCTGTTGGGGAAAAAATCTAACTAGCAAACAAAAACAATGAGAACAAAGAGGAATTACAAGCCTAAAGCGAACGACAAAGGAAAAGAAAACAACGCCATTTTTTTCGAAACGTTGCAGAGTTCAGTATAAAAATAATGAACTAAAATTAAATACGGACGTTTCGTACATCGCATGTCCTTGGAAACATCTCAAATGGCCCAGCGAATCATTTTAAGTTTCAATCGGATAGCAAAAAGACTCGGGAAATTTGAAAGGAGGTTTTAAATTATTAAACTGTGCAAATATTTATCAACAATGTGAAACCGAGCCGACAGTAGATTTGTAGCTGGACTTAACAATTTTCCCAATCGCTTCCTCTGCAAAGCTGACTTTATTCTTTCAAGGCACTTCACAATTTTACATAGCAGGTTTGTAAAGCCACCATACTGAATCTGAGAACGTTTCAAGAAAATAATCCTTGCAACAGGAAGAGACCAAGAAACGGTCAAATGGGAAAAAAAGGAATTTTATTCCTAAGCAAAATACGCATGATTTGCTCGTTGGCAATCTATCGATAGGTATACCTGGTAACATAACATGAAATAACAACTTTATTTAAATATCGCTGTCTTTAGCTTATAAAAGCTAATTGGGGACCCTAAAATAATGGGAAAAAATATAAAATGAGTTTCTTTATACATGGTATCAATAGGTGAACTAAAATTCTCTAAAATCTAAAATTTATAAAAAGTTAAATGACTCTTAAAATTTAAAAGTTAAAAGATTACGGAGTTATCCCCACTAACATACACAGGAAAATCCTTAAAATATTTCTGAGAATTCTCAAGAACTACAAAAGTTAGACAGGAGCTACAGTAGTCAACAATAATAATTCCTTTGGCAGGTCACGCAATCTATTCTCCAAACGTCGGCGTGGAAAAGGAAAGCATAACTTTCTTTCCTTCCTTTTTTCCCACCCCCTCCCCGCTGTTTTACTTGTGCCATTTTTCGCGCGGTCTTTGACTGTCGTTCCTCGTCTTTTGCTCCTAAACCGCACGGAAACGCTTGATGGGCAGAGTAGGTTATGCCACTGCTCAAGGCAACTGAAAATGAAACTCTGAATTTATTAAAAGGAGGAGTTAGAAGAGAATTCAAGTTATAGTTTTAAACCAATAGGAGATATGAGATTGAGAGGCTCTGAATAAAAAAAATAATAGTATGTGTTAGTGAGAGTGACATTCTTATAGATGCCACATTTTCATTTCAAAGCCCTGGGGATATGAGGAAGTGAAGAACCCAGACGAGAAGCCCAACATAGGGGCAGTCGAAGCAAAAAGGCAGTATTTGGAGGGCGGGCGGGGCGGTTAATGACCTATTCATGAATAAGAACCGAAATTAAATAATGACATGACTTCCACCTATGTTAACATGTACATCGCGTTTGTGACCCCTGTCATGGATGTTAGAGACCGAGACTAGGTCTAAAAATGGGTGTAGAAAATAGCATTTTGGACAGGCTCAGATTTGGAGAACGACCATTTAGTACAGTACTTGTGTACCTGAATTGCGTGTGCTTGCGAATCGACTGCAAAAATGATTGTTGCATGCATGTGCATTCACGTGATAACCGTGACACCAGACGGACCTTCAACTCAACACCGGGGCCTTCGAGGCTACATACCATGCATATTAGTCGGTACAACACGGGCATCGAAGTTGTCTCGTCCGCAAAGCTGTTAGGAGTGGTAGTTTTGGACAACCTCAGGAGGAACGCGCATGTTGAATCTATATGCAAAAAGGCTGCGACGCGCCTGTACTTCCTAAAACAGCTAAAAAGCGCTAAAGTTCCACCCAAGGATATGCTACTTTTCTATACAACATGTATACGCCCTGTATTAGAATATGCGTGCAACGTTTTTCATCATTCTTAGTCGCAATGTCTGTCTAATGAAATGGAAAGATTGCAAAAGCGTGCATTGCGGATAATACAACCCGACTTATCCTATGCTGAGGCTCTAGTAGCTCTAGACATCACGTCACTGTACGCGAGGAGAAAGGCCTCGAGTAATGCTCTATTTGACCAAATTGTAAGGGACCAAAGCCACAAGCTCCACGATCTGCTGCCCCCGCGAAACGGGTCCACTTATTGCACCCGTAGCCAGAGATACTTCAAACTACCGATTTGTAAGACAGATAGGTTTAAAAACACTTTTATTATGGCGAACAGTTTTAATTATTAGTAGTTATCTTAATTATTAGTATTTTGGTGTTGATACTTCTCCTTTTGTATTTTATTGTAGGTTATATTTTACGGGTTTTATCGTAGTTATCATATATTTAAAGATATTTTTTAGTTCCATTGTAAAGTAAGTCACATTTCAGCCGGCCCGGGGGCTGCAATGATTTTACTTCTTAATAAAGCTATCTATCTATCTATCCCAAGAATGTGGAGAGCGTCGGGAAAAATCTTACTACACAGTTAAAACAGTGCCGCTGACCAAGAACAGGCGGCGGGCTCCCTTTATCGCCCGCAATAAAGGGAAAGGAAAAGCGTTTCCAAAACAGTGCAATATATAGTGCAATTCAATTGACTGACGTTTCGACAACCTGTACGGTCGTCATCTTTAAAGTCAAAGTGAGTTGTGTCACATCAGTTGATGGTATAGGGTTAGGGTTAGGGTTATTGACCTGATTGGTCAATTAAGTCGCGATGTTAGTGGTCGTCTGTCAGTTTAGTCCTGATGTTATTGGCTACCTACTTAAGAAATGACTCCCGGGTTCAAACCTTTCAGTTAAAAAGAAGACAAAGGTTGTTTTCCATTTACATGGGTAAACCGGTCGGTCCACAGTTTGGGCAAATGGTACGTAAAATTCAGGACTAGTAAATTTGATCCTGGAATGGGGTTTACCATTTGTACAAATCAAATCCATTTACCGATAAACGGCCGCGAAGGCCTGAAACTGGTGTCATAGATGGCTTTGATGAAATGGAACACAGCCTCCGTTTGGAACATCAAGACCGGGAAAACAGGACATTTTTCAGATGTTCCGCTGCTCCCGGTATTTTTCCGCTCGAACGACCCAAAAAGTCGTGTTCAATTTACTGTCAAACTGGATTTTACGGAATTTTTTTTTACATTGTAAACCACCAAAACGACAACCATAAGTTTTTTGTCATCGGAAACGGACGTAAATAGCCTGTTCCAGGCTCTTTGCGCCATCCCAACAATCTGGACGCCTGGAATTGGCTAGGAAGTAAATGACACTTCAGCAATACCTAAATATTTATAGTGTATATACATGCTCGCAGCGTTTTTCATTAAATTCAAGTCTTTGCTTTAAATTTAAAAAGCATAATCAGTGTCTCTCTCGTTACATTCAAATGCCCTTTCTAAATCATCTAGGCTATACGCAACGTCTCTCGAAGTTATTGGCTTCGACTCAAGTCAACTAGCACTCTGCATTTCGTAAGAGCACAAAATGAAGCCAAAGAAATCTAACATTTATTGTCCCTTTCTGTAAATTCTGTCTTTATTCTCACCACCAATATGGGGAGGTACGGGGTCCATTCTTTCGGGGTATACCTACTGTGGGACAATTTTATCGCGGGGTAACTCTCTCTCTCTCTCTCTCTCTTAAGATCCATTCTTGTGGGGATATTTATGGACACGGGAACGCCTCCTTGGGGATCCGGCGTTTTGGGTATGAACTCTTTATGTCTGGGGTCATTTTACTAGATTTCTTCCCTGGAGATCAATGTATTTTCTAACCTTTTATAAGACGGGAAGGGTGGGGTCCCGGAGTTCTCATTAAGGGGGGTTGGGTTGGGTTCACCATATATCTCACTCTCTCTCGTCTCAATTGCCTCAATGAACATAAGACCGGTAGGGGTCCTGAGGGTGTCCTTAAAGGGGTTGAGTGGGATTTACCATATATCTCACTCTTTACTGTCTCAATTGTCTCAATGTATTTTCTAGCCTTTTACAAGACGGGCAGGGGTCTTGGAGTTCTCCTTATAGGGGTTGAGTGGGATTCACAATATATCTCAGTCTTTATCGTCTCAATTGTCTTAATGTATTTTCTAGCCTTTTTATAAGACGGGCAGGGGTCTTGGAGTTCTCCTTATTGGGGTTGAGTGGGGTTCACCATATGTCTCGCTCTCTCTCTCGTCTCGCTCGCGCCATGGAAGTTTGCAGGCTTTACACACTCCAGATAAGTGTGTGCGTGGCTTAGCAATGATGGGAGGGAGGGTAGGGAGGGGTGTCCTATCTGTCATCAGCTCCTCGTCAAGGGGGGTCTCTTCTCCGGTGTAGGAACGGGGGATTTTAAGTCCAGTTTCAGTCTTGCCGAAGCACACGCAGTCTATAACTGAAAGCCTCCCTGGGGCACGCTGACTCCTGCATATTGGTATTGGTTCGCTTCCTGATCAATGCCAGGCATAATCTTGTCATCTTCGTCTTCACCGC